CCCTCATCGTGAACCTATGTGTATCTTCGGGTTTCTTGCCCGTTGAATGACTATACCTCATATATCTCGCTCTGGTTGCGATGCGATGTCACTCCATGAAAGCTTCACTCCTAAACGGTCTTGTCCGCCGGGCGATCTTCCGCGAGGATACCCCGGTCTATTTGTGTTTTCTCGTCTCTATCGTTTCTAGCGTCGGTAGCGTGTGTGAGCACTGACATTTGTGGGAAAACGCGGGGCCTGCGCAAGAAAGAAGGGACTGGCCACCAATGATGTGACGTCCCGAGGCACCGAATTCTAATGCCAAGCGTGGAAAGCCGAGCGACTGGGATTTTGATGTTGAATTTTGTGAAAGGAATAAAAAGTCTGGATTTTAGGGGTTGGTTCTGAACTTGGGCTTGCGTCCTCTAAACTTTAAGGCCATGTCCCTGGGCTTCAGCCTTTTGATGATAAAATAACATCGGCACCCGGGGACTCAGATTGGTGTGGGATATCCTTCCATTCGCTTGTCAGAAACCAACCCAGACCCCCTGAATCGGCCCTTCATATTGTAGCATAATAAGGGCTAATGGGACGCTGCAACACAACATGCTCGGCCCGCGCGGTTTGGCCCGACACGCTGGGCGAGAACATGATGGTCAACCAAGGGGTGATAACCACGGGCCATACCTCAACAGTGTCATCTGGTCCCTGGCGGCGCTTTCAACTTTATTTCTCGGCCTGCGAGTGTACTCCAAACTCCTCAGGCGGCGACAATTATGGTGGGATGATTATTTCCTGATTGCGAGCTGGGTTTGTCTCTCCTTCCCTGCATTTTGTCCTCCCGGGTTCGCGTCTGGTAGGACAAAGACTACGGACCATCTAACGGTTATAGACCGCACTGATCGTCTCGGTGTCCCTACAGTCGGTGGGAGTTGCACACGGCCTCGGGAGCCACTATGGCGAGCTAGATGAGGGATCCATCACCGCCGTCGCTATATACTCCATTTCGGCGGGGTTCGGTTCTATCCTCGCGACTTGTTGGAGCAAGACGTCCTTTGCCATCTCCCTACTTCGGATCTCCACAGGCAGAACTAGGGCGTTCGTATGGTTCATCCTTGTCTCTGTGAACCTTGTGATGGGTTCCGTCGGGGTGATTCAGTGGGTACAATGCTGGCCTGTCCGGAAATTGTGGTACCATGAGGTGGCGGGCTCGTGTTTCCCGCCGGAGATTGTCCAGAACTACAACACTTTCACGGCTGGTAAGAAACAGCTCAACCAGCTAGTGATCACAGGGTGCGGTGACTGACAAGCTACCTCGCATAGCATACTCTGGCTTGATGGACATCGTTCTTGCGCTCCTTCCGTGGAAGATCATTTGGACTATTACCATCAAGAAGAGGGAAAGGCTGGGCGCCATGGTGGCCATGAGCACCGGTGTTCTGTGAGTTCACGCCACGCTGCCGGTAAAGGAGATACCATATGTGCTAATTTTGAGCGCCCAAGGGCGGGAGTGATGGCTTTTCTCAAGATCAAGACTCTGTATGTCATTGGCAACGACGACAGTGAGCCCCCGTGCGATGAGCCCCTCCATTTTGTTTAGCCTCCTGACCGTATCATAGCTACAACGGTGGACCTCTTTATTTTTGGCACGGCCGAACCCGCAACCGCCATTATGGCCGCTTCGATTCCGATACTCCGGAACCTTCTCCGCCGAGAGTCCCAAGTGAAACCAGCTGAGTTCATCCAGCTGGCTGGTAATGGCCAACAAGAAGTAGGACAGTCGCCCACCCCCGAGGAAGCTAATAACGAGGAGAGAAAGCAAGAAGCCGGGCAGTCGTGGGCGAGGATAGCTCAACTGGAACAAGCCCGTGTGTTTGGGGGGAAGGGAAAAGGGAGTGGTTCGGGGCCAGGGATGGGTCCCTGACCGGACTCATGCTTCGATGCTGGGGTACGGTTCCAGGGTGGGCCTTGAACAGATGTATTGCGATTTGATGATGATACCCATAGAATGTTAACAGAACTTCTCAAAGGAACGGCTAGTTTACCCCGGGCCTCTCTCGGTTTGGATGTCGATATGGGACGGATAATCTCGGACATCATGTCATTATTACGCCAGGGCGGGTGAGTAACTGACTTCAGCTTCCCTGTTGGATGCCTAGGTGTTATTATATGAGGCGGAAAGGTTGTACGCTTTCTTTGCAAAGTCGGGAGCTGGGTGGATTAATGAGGCTCAATTGGGGGGATCTGCAGCAGACTTTTTGTCTTTCCTGTCTCCCACTGCCAGCCGGGCTGCCAACTTCAATCGCTCTATAACATTGATTGAAAAAGTGGTTGATTAATTGAACCAAAAATGGCTCTGGAGAGAATCGTATCTGACCGCTATTACAGGTGGGATTAATAACTACATCGTCATTGAATCATCCAAGCCACAGCTGAAGCGCACCTGGAATCCAACACTATTACACTGCTCTCTAGCGACCAATTACCTGGATTGACATGCTGTAACACAGACTACTTTTCTGTTCCTGAGTACTTCTCAGACGGGGAGTATTTTGGATAATAACCTGAACCGAAACCGCTCGATGGGAACTTTGCAGGACCACATTAGCCTTAATCGAGCTTTTGAAGCACCACCCGTGGTAACGGCCTGGCATGGATGGTTCTCGGGAGGCGCGGGGAAGTGTTTTCTGCAGGAACTAAATTTTGGCATAATCGGGGTGTAACCATTGTAAGTGCCGACATAAGTCAAAAGTTCCCGACCGTCAATTGCATGCATCTATCGTCAATCGTTTGGTCACTACGGGGGTTGGGGGATGGGGTATGGGACAAGAGTATAAGAACTCGGCCCTACGGCCTCCGTACTAGACCTGATGATAAACCCGTGTGTACCTATCTTCAACTGATATCCGTTCACTTCTCAAAACTAAGACCGATTTTGGATATATCGAGACATAATCATTGAAGCACCAACCATGTTTCGAACATTCTCCTCCGCACTCTTCCCCCTCCTGCTCTTCACCAACCCTTCCGGTGTTACGGCTTTGACAGTTGCTGCCTTGTCCCAAAACATCGAAGCCACCCCCCTGGTTGTAACTTTGGAGGATTATTACAATTCTACCTCTTATACACATATCAACGGCCTCCCCGTCCTCGGGACCAATCCCGACATCGACCTCTACGCAGGCTCCGAGGTGCACGTCCTGCACGACGCGCCGCAGCACCCAGAGCTGCGCATCCTCGCCACGGTAGTCGAGTTCTCCTACCGCATCGTAGCCGACAAGCGCAAGGGCATCCTGGAGCCCTCAGACCTCCGGGGCAAGCGCATCGGCGTCGTCGGCAACGTGACGTCCGAGTACTTCGCCTACCGGTACCTGCGCGACGTGGTCGGGCTTGACGAGTCCGAGTACACGCTCGTAAAAAGGGGCATTCTTTGCTACGCGCTGCCCTGCGGTAATGGGACGTACCCGCAGATGTTGGTGACGGGCGAGATCGACGCCCTTACTGCCTTCGAGCCGACAACTACGGTGGGCGGTATGGCCCTCGGCGAGGAGAACGCCGTCTTCTTCCGCAACGATACGCTGTACCGCAAGATCAACGTCTTGTACACAACGCAGGCTAAGCTGGATAACGCGACGAGCCGGGTTGAGATTGTCGGGTTCCTGCGGGCGCTGGGTAAGACACAGGAGGTTTTCACCAACGAGCCCGAGAAGATCTGGCCGAGGGTGGCGAATATCACGGCAACGGGCAACACGGAGAACACCGCAACGGAGGAGATAATGAGGGAATTTTGGCCGCTCACGAAATGGGATCGCGAGCTCGCGGCGGACCTGGTTGATTTGATGGTAGAGGAGGACAAGTGGGTGGCAATGGGTGAGAGACAGGGAAGGGACCCAATGGGCAGAGAGAGGATCCAAAGTCTTATCGATAACGCACCGCTTGAGGAAGCTCTTACTTGCGAGGGATAGGAGAAAGAGGAAAATAGCTCTGGTCTTGGGGCGAGGTATGATTGCTCCCCGAGCCGGGGAAGGAAACTCGGGCGAAATAATGGCTATTATTACCAGGGCTTCGACCGAATGGGGCGAGCCTCGGCGTTCTCGGCGTGGTTGTTAACCGCCTTGGGATTGGTTGATTCCGAGTTTGGTGTTTGAAGCCAAGGCTCAGAAACGGGATTGGTCAGTCAGTGGCCAAGGCTGTTCATGAGAGCTTGAGAGTTTCCGTTGGTAGCTTGGTTCCTTGGTGGGGCCACGGCGGACCGTCATCGCGAACGGCCTGGAACAAATTTTCTATTTCGCTCATCACATCATGCATGTCACCTTGCAGGCCGCCTCAATTCATACGTTGGTGCGCGATTTCTGTGGTTGCAAGAGTTAAACGGCCCGTCCAGCGCGTTTGGGGTTGCTCAGACGCGCCCACGACCCAACCCACATGCCAGATTGGCCGGGAATTTATCGTGCCGTTTCTGGCATTTTCGAGCATGTCTTGGCGCCGGCCTGCACGGACGTCACTCGGGGGAGCACACGTCCCGCCTTGCCCGCCGATGGTATCCCTGTTTCGCGTCCAAAAATTACGTCGTCGACTCGCTCCGAGGCTGAGATTTTGCGCATTTCTCCCTTGATTTCCAGTTATTTTGTATTGTTGTAGTTTGATCTGAAGTCAATTACAATATCTCGGGACACTGTTATTGTCAATGGCATATTCGGGATTCAACAAGATTGTATTGTACTGTGTAACAATTGTACATTCCATGGTGGGAGGCCTGGCCTTTTTGGCAGCGCTTTTCGTTACCCCGCTCCCCACCGTAACTGCCCCGCCATCTTTTCTAACGGCCTTTTGTGCCTTCCAAGCTTGCCGCCCCGGTCTGGGATTCCAGTTAATAACGTCACCGAACCGCGACCGACCATCCCCAAGCCGCTGAATCCCCAATTTACCTAACAACCCACCTAGTCACCACCCACTCATAAATCTCTCTAGCCACCTATCCGTCACCACCATCATCACCCTTAACGCAGCTTTGCCAACAACAACAGCGGCTAAATACTGGCTGCCGTTCTGCGGCCGAGAAACAGCGCATTCTGGGTCTGAGGTCCCTCTCTACCTCTGGCACTTCCTACCTTGCCGATTTGCCAATTAGCGAATTCCCGCCTTCACAATGCCCGGCGCCGTCGAATATCCGGCTTCCTCCTCTGGCAGGCTACTTCTAATCTCCAATCGCCTGCCAATCACCATCAAGCGCTCCGATGAAGGCCACTACTCATTCTCCATGTCCTCGGGCGGTCTCGTCACTGGGCCTGAGCGGACTCTCCAAAACCACAAGTTTCCAATGGTACGGATGGCCTGGCTTGGAGGTACCAGAGGGCGAGGCCGGACCCATGAGGGGGCAGTTGAAAGAGAAACACAACGCCATCCCCGTGTTTGTCGACGATGAGCTTGCCGACCGTCATTACAACGGGTTTGCCAGTATGTCCCTCTTCCCTACAATATCTGCGAGGTGCTTGGGAAGCTAACCGCCGTCTTTCATCCCAGACTCGATCCTCTGGCCCCTTTTCCACTACCATCCCGGCGAGATCACTTTCGACGAATCCGCATGGGCCGCATACCGCGAAGTAAACCGGCTATTTGCCCAGACCGTGGTCAAGGACGTACAGGACGGCGATCTCGTGTGGGTGCACGATTACCATCTGATGCTTTTGCCCCAGATGCTGCGCGAGGAGATTGGCAATTCCAAGAAGAACGTCAAGATTGGCTTCTTTCTTCACACGCCCTTCCCGAGTAGCGAGATTTATCGCATCCTGCCTGTCCGAGAGCAGTTGTTGTTGGGCATCCTCGACTGCGATCTGATCGGGTTCCATACCTACGATTACGCGAGGCACTTTTTGAGTAGCTGCTCAAGGATACTGTGAGTTCCCCATCACGGAGCGTTGTTGACCCTTGATACTAACGACGACAGATCGACGACAACAACGCCGAATGGCGTCGATTGGAACGGCAGGTTCGTGACGGTCGGGGCGTTTCCTATCGGTATCGATCCCGAAAAGTTCATTGAGGGTCTTAAGAAGGAGAATGTGCAAAATCGCATCGCCGCCCTAAAGCGTAAGTTCGAGGGCGTCAAGCTGATTGTTGGTGTCGACCGCCTTGACTACATCAAGGGAGTGCCCCAAAAGCTGCACGCGCTTGAGTGTTCCTCACCGAGCACCCGGAGTGGATCGGGAAGATCGTGCTGGTACAGGTAGCTGTGCCCAGCAGACAGGACGTCGAGGAGTACCAAAACCTGCGGGCCGTCGTCAACGAGTTGGTCGGGCGCATCAATGGCAAGTTCGGCACCATCGAGTTCATGCCGATCCACTTCCTACACCAGTCGGTCACTTTCGACGAGCTCACGGCTCTCTACGCCGTTAGTGACGTCTGTCTGGTCAGCTCGACCCGCGATGGCATGAACCTGGTCTCGTACGAATACATCGCTACGCAGCGCGAGCGCCACGGCGTCATGATCCTTTCCGAGTTCACGGGGGCCGCACAGAGCCTCAACGGTAGTCTCATCGTCAACCCTTGGAACACGGAGGAGCTCGCCAACGCCATCCATGACGCCGTCACCATGTCGCCCCAGCAGCGCGCGACCAACTTCCGCAAACTGGAACGATACGTCTTCAAGTACACAAGTGCTTGGTGGGGGCAGAGTTTTGTCACGGAGCTGACGCGTCTCAACGCGGGCGAGGAGTCGAAGGCGGGTAAAAAGGGGAATGCGGCCCAACTAGCGCTGCAGAGCGCGGCCGAGGGGGTTGCGGGTGCAACGAACAAGGCGGTCGAAGGCGCCCAGGAGGCTATTGCCGCTGTTTCCGGGGATAACAAGGAGTCGGAGTGAGGGAGCCCATCTGCCCCACTGGGCTGTTGCTGTTTTTTTACTGTCGGAGAGGCATTGACCAGCGTTGCTGTGGAAGCCTCGCTTGCAGAGCCTTAATAACCCAGCGGTTGCTACCAGCGAAACTCAAGTAGGAGGACCTGGTTGGTTTGGACGCGAGGTTTCTCCCAACGAGGTAATGACATCCGGGAAAGCGTTATGGTTTGTTCCTTTTGCGTTTATTAGTATCTGATCTTGCTTTCAAACGATAGAATGGATGTTGCATCAACCGGCACCGCGCTTTTGTCTGTCCCATTGGCTTTGGGGAAATTTGATCTTGTGTTGTGTGTTTGTAGGGGGGGCCACAAAGCGTTTTGTCAGAAGGTGAACAACAGAGCCGCCGATCGTGCCAGTCAAGATTACGAAGGATCTCTTTCATACGGCCACTGGCTTCCGGCCGAGGATCAAAGAAAAGAAGCATTGCCCGGAGGATGGCGGAGTTACTGAGCTTGGCGCGAACCCCACCGAATGCGAGGAATCCGATCGGATTGCCGGGCCCGGCCCCACAAGGGCTGGACACGCTGGATTTGGGACTCCAATCAGATGCCATTCAAGGGTTGACAACAGAAAAAGCTTAGTTGTGTGGCAGGGCTGTGCCGCGTGTCCGGGCAGCTTGAAGGATCAAATTGGGTGATAAAATTCGTGGAGGGAGCCCATCGTGAGGAGCCAAGTCATGAATGGCAACGGCAACGCGGCAGGGTTGTTTCAAGGGCTTTGGGATAGGCTATAACTATGGCCGAGGGTCCTCCGCCATTTCGCCTAAGGGGTTCTCTTCATCAAGCCAAGAAGCATCTTTCATCGTTCCCATACGTCTGTCTCCAGAGTCAGGCTGCATCTTACCAAAGCTACGCATCATCCTACCAAGGGATCCGGCAGCTATGTATCTGGCTTACAAGTATGCGAAGAAGAGGTATAGGGCGCACCAGGAGGCCAAGCTAGCAGACCCAACGGCCTCGCACACAACCCCATCTGCTCCAAACGGAACGCAACCGGACGATACAAGAGGCCTAACGGCTTCATCTGACGAGCCTGGCGTCCCCACTCCCTACGATCCCTCTCCTCTAGCTGCAACGCCAGGTCACACCAACCCAGATGACGCAAAAACCAAAGAAACACCCGAAGAACTGGCCGAGAAGAAACGCCGGCGCAAATACCGGCTCAGAATCATCCTCGGCTTGTTCCTCCCCTTTACTCTTCAAGCACTTGACACAACCATCATCGCATCGGCGCTCAAATTCATCGCCGTCGATTTCAGTCAGTCCTCCCCCCCTTATATCCACCCCCAACCCGCATCCCTCCCCCAACTTAACAAGCATCCCTACCAAAACATCAACTAACCCCCTCCCCACCTTCACACAGACGAGATTAAACAACTCAACTGGATCATCACGGCCTTCAACCTGACCTCGGCCGCCTTCCTGCCCATCTTCGCCCAACTAGCCGACGTCTTCGGGCGGCACGCCACGCTGCAAACCGCGCTGGTCATCATCACCCTCGGCTCCGCGCTCTGCACCGCCGCGCCGACCTCGGCCTTCCCCCTGCTGCTGTTCGGCCGCGCCCTGCAGGGCGTCGGCGCCGCGGGCATCAACATCTGCGTGCGCACCATCCTGGCCGATAAGGTCTCGCTGGGGGAGTACGCCAAGAATTGGACGACCTTTGCGTTGGTGTCCGGGGTGAGTTTCGGGTTGGGCCCCGTGGCGGGCGGGTATTTGACGGGGGTTAGTTGGCGGTGGTGTTTTGCGATTAATTTGCCCGTGGCGGTGGTGGGGATTGCGTTGGTGGTGGTGTTGTTAAGGGGAAGGTTGATTGGGGCGTTGGCGATTGAGGAGGTGACGGGGCGGGGGTGGGGCGCGGAGGAGGATGGGTATCGGGGGAGGAAGAGGGATCCGGGCACGCCGCTGGGGCGATTTTTGGCGAGGTTGGCGACGGTGGACTTTGGGGGGCAGTTGTTGTTTTTGTGGGGGCTGGGGTTGTTGGTGTTGGGGTTTACGTGGGCGGGGAGTACGTATGCCTGGGACTCGGCCGCCGTGTTGGTGACGCTGGTGGTTGGGGCCGTGTTGACGGTTGCGTGGTTGGTGTATGAGTGGGCGATGGTGCCGGGAAGGGTGATGTCGAGGGTCTTTCCGATGCAGACGGCTATGATGCCGTGGCAGCTGCTGATGCAGAAGGATGTTGGCTTGATGATGGGTATCAACTTCGCCAACGGCGCCGCCATGTTCGCCATCATGTACTACATGGACCTGTACTTCACTCTGGTCTTGGGGCATGGCGCTAGCGAGGCTGGTATTGCGCTGCTTTATTTTCTCCCTGGGCTGGGCGGTATGTTGAACCCCTATTCCCTGACTGGCAGATCCGTACTGACCTTTACGAAGCTGGCGTCTATGCCACCATGTTTTTCATCAACGTTTGGCCCCGGCAAACCGTCCCCGTCTTATTTCTCGGGACTATCAGCTCTGCTGTCGGTATCACGGTGGTGTCCTGGGCTTGCTATACCGAATACGTCAACCTGATCTACGGCATGATGGCCCTGGCTGGTTTTGGTGTCGGAGTGACGACCAACCCAGGGACGCTCCATGCCCTCGCTTACTTTCCCGGAATGACGGCGCCCATCACCTGCCTGGCATCGTTCGCGAATCCGTTCGGCGGCACGATCACCATCACCATCATGTCGACGGTTTTCAACAACCGAAGCGGAGTCAACCACGAAGACCCCAAGTCTGGAATCTACTGGGCATTTATTGCCGTGATCCCCATCATGTGGTTGTCGGTTATCATCACCACCTTTTTGGGCAACGTGTGGCTTGGAAAGGAGGGAACCCACCAGGTCGTGCATGGTTTCTGGTTTTGGAACTTGCTCAGGGGCAAACGGCTGGAGAAGGTGACTATGGCCAGAATGGAGGACTCGGGACCTGCCGGTGGGAATGGAGATATTGGCATGAAGACTGTCCCTCGTCACACGGCAGAGCAGCAAAGAGACACAGGGGGTGATGGGGTGAGATACCAATCGGCTTGATAGAGAGTATTGTATTAGGGATTTAGACGGAGGATGGTAAAAGTCCCATAGTGCGAAACTATATCGACTGATAGAAAATGATTCGAACGATGCACCGGTTGGTCCTAACTGAACTGAGGAACGCATGCCCCCGTCGCCAAATTTAAGCATGGGTCAGGGTGTGTACCAAAACAGAAATGCCAATCCTGCCCAGTGACCACTTAAGCATGTAGTTTGCATCCAACACACGGGGCAGGCGGCTGCGAACTTCCAAACACATCCTCCCGCGGCTTCCCAGAAACATTCAAGAACCCCACCGCCCCCTTATCCAGCCGGAAAATGGCGTGGTCCACCAGGGTGTACGTCCCAGGCACCACCATCTTCATGTCAACCACCGTCGCCCCTCCCGGAGGCACGGTTACCGTCGACACGAAGCGGCCCGGTGGGCTCAACACATCACCGTCCCGGTAAACACTATGAAAGTTGCTCCCAATGACATGAAACGAGCTCGTCAGATTCGGGCCCGCGTTCCCAAAGAACACCCGCACCGTCTCCCCAGTATGCGCTTTCAGGGGCTTATCCCTCGTCAGGGCCGACTCGCTCCCGTTAAAAACGACGATATTCGGCTCCTCGGCCAGGCCGTTCGGGTACGAGAACTCGACCGTCTTGGACGGGCGGCCGTCGTCCATGATCTCGGGCGGCTCGTGGTAGAACTCGCTCTGCATGACGTAGAACTCGCGGTCCACGGGCGGCAGGTCCCCTTCCGCCGGCTGCACGTAGATCAGCCCGTACATGCCGTTGGCGATGTGCACGGGCACGGGGGCCGCCGCGCAGTGGTACAGGTACAGGCCTGGCGTGAGGAGCTTGAACCGTGCGGACTTGGTTTCGTTCTCTTCGGTGGTGGTTAGGGCCGCGCCGCCCCCGGGCCCGGTGAACGCGTGGCTGTCGATGTTGTGCGGGTTGCCCGTGATGTCTTTGTTGGTGAACTCCATGTCTACCACGTCGCCGACTCGCGCGCGGATGAATGGGCCGGGGACCGTGTCATTGAATGTCCACTGTTCGTATTTGTATTGGCTTGTGAGTTGAGCCAGCTTCGTGGATGTGGTTAATGGGACTTGGAGGAGGACCGGGTAGTCCCGAGTAATGGCTGGTGGGACATAGGGCGCTTGTGTAAGTATGGCCTGCTCCCTAGGGAGGCTGTCGACTTCAATCGAATCTTCAGCAAGGGCCTCGTAAAACTGCATTCGCGCATCCAACTTTCCGTCTTGACTTTCGAGGAAGGGGGGGGCAAACACCTGCATTTGCATGAGCCGCCACCCATACTAGACCATACCTCTGAACGGAAAGGAAGAACTTACGGACTTCTCCGCGAGTTTGGGCGGTCTTTCCCCGGGGGATTTGTACGATGACGAGTCCATCCGAACTGGCCGCTGGCGATACATGAACAGCACACCGAGTGCAGTGGCCGATGCAACCACAACCGATACCCATCGTCTCTGGCTTGAGTGCTTGGGTCCTGTGTGCGAGGACAGGGAACGGCGGCTATCTAGTCTACTCCATCTTGTTTGCGATGGAGTAGAGCATCTTGTGGAGAGACAAATGGCGCTTCCTCGTGCGGCGTGATGTCTAGCAGCCGAAGCCACTCTGGTGGAGATTATGAGGGGCACACAAGGCGACATTGTGAGCCGCTCTTGGTCAACAACAGGCGACCGACAAGGTGTCAAGAAAGGGAACTTTAGTTATGGGGTCGCAACTCAAAAAGTGGTTGTTGGGTGACTTGAGCTTTTCTGAAGCTCGATGGAAAAGAGACGACAAAACAAAATGAGAAGCGAGTGTCACGTACTAGGCCCACGATAGTACGTCGGGTTAATATGGGATCTTTGCTGCCATCCATGTATCCACTATCGTCTGAAGTCAGACGCGGAGAGTCGGGGATATATCGGTGATCCCAGCTGGAGAAGGGAGCAATGACGTCCCTTCATCGCACAACCGCCGCATAACTTCAAAGGAGTGCCACACAAGGTTTCTGCGGTGTCACCACCCAACAAGTAGCCATCGGTCAGCCGGTCGGCCTGGGTAGGTATACAATGGGAAGTTGATCACCTCCTTCCGGCGAACCCCACATTCCTCCATTGTTTTGTGCCGGACGCGGTACACTTTGTCGGCAGTTACCCTTTCATGACCGTCTATCCAGTCAACTGAGTTGCGAGGAGGGCCTGGGCTTCCGGGGAACATCGGACTATACTCGGGGTGTTGGCACGAGGTATGTGTGTGCCAGAGCAGCGGGGCGTCGCGTGTTTTGGGACTGATGCAAGTGGTTTGTAGCCTGTACTTGCCTGGTAACAAAACAATAAGCGCTCTATCTACGCCGTGATTGCAGAACTGTTACAAATGGTACCATCCTCCCAGCTATAGTTGGAATATTATAGTCGTACATTCTGTTGCCGTGCCCGTTTCTCTGGAAAGCTTTCTTTGTTTGTTGTCCAATCAGTTCTTTAACCCTCTTGCTGATTTATCCCTGGGTTAAATTAACAAAGGGAGTTTTGTGGAAAGAACAGCGAATGCACCTTGAAACTTCACAATGGGTCAATGGTTGTAGCTGGTGCATGATGACGACCTCGAGCTAATTTACTTTTCATGGAAGGTAAAAATTGATGAGCGGCGAAGCCTTCTGGTACCATTTCGAGTTCTACGACACCTCCGGTCGGCGCATCAACCTCAGGGGCTTCAGCCTCACATGAAGAACTTCAAGTTATTACCTAATGAGTAGGTGGGTATAAGCTCCCCGCCCTTTTCTATTCAACGGCATGATGAACTAGTCAGTCGTACAACAGCCACACCCGCGGAGGCGTGCAGTTTTGGTTGTGTCCGCGGAGTTGCTCCCTTTTCTTTGACACGGGAACTAGACGGGATCTGCTCCCACATAGTTCGGGGCACGCAATGCTACGCGAATGGTTACAAGATCTCCGGCCGACGTTGCTTGGGTTACGGGGAAAGTACTACAAGTAAAATTAAGAAGTAGAGTCATGGACAGTGTTCACTTTGCGATTGAAACGAATTTGCATATGCAAGCATTTGAGGTCACACTGAACAAGTCCGTCGACCCTTGTCTGATGTTCTCTAACCTATTTGCAGATAAAAGCATCTCCATTTTTACACCTGGGGGGACATGGTCGATCTTCGCCCTTAGGATTTTTTTGGTGCTGTTTTGGGGAATGTGGCTGTTTATTGACCATGAATGTGACCACTGGCAGGGGGCTGAGCGACTGGTGTGGTAGGTGCAAAAGGCAAGGCGAGAGAAGTGTAGGGAATACCAGGTATCGCGATAGCGTTAGAAGCACAGGGCAAATCCCTTTTCTCTGGAGGGACGTGCTACATTCGTGGTTCAATTGGATCATGTTCTTCTATCTAGAAATGAGGGGGGCTCAGATTTTGCAGCCGGGGTTGTCGTCCCCGAGGTCCAGGACCACGTGACGACTGCCCCAGTGGTGGACCTCCCCCTGCCCTCCGTCACGTCCCCCTGCGAGGACGTAACTCTGGCGTAGATGTTCCGACACTGGCAGTCTCTTCTTTTGAGGCCAGGAAACGCCAGAGTTCGCAGGTGGGCTTTCGGATTACGTACATGTCCCCAAATATCCCCTTCGTAGTCCCCCAAAGGCCTCCTAACGTGAGACCCATCCTTCCACGCGTACAGTTGCACTATTGCAGTCAACAAACCGCTCCAGGGCACGATTCGGCGTTGTTTTTGTGAAGGAGTCCGCCAGATTGTCCTCTCCATTGATCCACCTCACTTCCTGGAGTTCTCTGCGCTCGTAGGACTGGCGCAGTGCCCATGATATCGATCATCAACCGCTTTTCCCTTCGTAGTCCCGAGTTTCACAAGACATTCGTACAGTGAGTAAAGAAATCTGTACAGACGATGGTTGGGATGGCAGGAAAGGTTCAGGTGGGCAGTGATCTGGCGTAATGTTGAAGCCAGGGCGTAAGCCATATCCACGCCGGCCCACCATTCCGTAAACCTCGGAAGCTAGGACGCTGCGGGTAACCCTCTTGCTCTTGGTGCTGCTGAAGTGGATGAGGTTCCCTGTAATGGAGAACTCGTGGCGATCGTTGATCTCGTCTTCGTTGGCCAGGATGATCGCAAACCCGAGCTGGGAGGTGAAATCTCTGTTGTTGGCAAAAGAGCCGTCAACGAAGACGTACAGTCTTGCAGTCTCCAGGTTCAGGGGTAAGAACGTGAGTCCCCTGTCCTGTGAGTCCATCTGCCACTGGATCCTTCGGTTAAGAGTCTTGATATCGTCAGGGGTCGGTTCTTGGTGTTGGGCTGCGCTGGAGAGATCAAAGCAGGCCTCGGGTTGGCAAATTGAAGCGATGTACGCGCCGCGAGCCCGTTGCTGAACGTACTGTTGTTTGGCGTCTGGCGCGTTGGCGTCGATCAATTGCAGCTTCTGGGCTTGACCCTTCTGCCGCAGGGTGATTGAACCGTTTTTGTTGAGTGTAACGATGCCGCCGTTGAAAACCAGGGGTTCCGCGGTGGTGAGAAATTGCTTGTCTTTGGCGCTGAATGACGCCTCCTTCAGTTGATCGTTCTCGCGTTGTGAGAACGCCTCTGTTGACAGACCCAGAGTATCGTCTGTTTGCATCCCCACGCAGGCAAATTCCGGGTTCTCGGGGGAGGAGATCAACAGGCAGGGGTCGTACGTAGAGGTTGCCATCTGGAGCCTCTTCAAATGGTGGTTGTGGTATGTGACCCACCAATAGGTTCCTGCCTCTGCCAGCCCGTACAACGGCTTGATCACGCGCATCACGGTTCCCTCGGGGTATAAGTGCCTGATCTGTTGGGGCAAAAATGCCAAAATCTTGCGCTGGAGTGCCTTTTCCGACTGCACGTAGGCTTGCGTAATATCGCGCAGCCAAAGGAGACAACCCTGTCTCTGAAGTGACGGCGCGATGGCGAGGATCAGGCGTTGGCTTGCGCGTTGGATTGTTGGCGACTGCGTGAGGATGGCTTCCTTTCCTGCGTCTCCGAAGCCTTGGACCACAAGCCTCGATTTCTCATAGGGCTTGTCCGTTGTCTTGCCCTTAATTTCGTTTACGATCCTTGACTTAAAGATCTCTGCGTCGCCGTGTAAGTCCTCGTCGTATTTGACAAATTCGAAGACGCCTCGGGTAATAAGGCTCTCGATCTCTTGTTTAGAAGACTCCTCAAAAGGTTCCCCGGGTGTAGTGACCTTGCCATCGGCGCGCAACTGGACTGCGAGTGCGGCGTCTGCTTGTTCCTTCGTTGACAAGAAAATCTCGAAGATTTCGTCCTCTCGAACATCGCTCTCCTGGAGGAATGCGTGGGCGAAGTGGGTTCTGCGTGGTCGAGTGTTCCTGTGCGGTCCGTCGTCTGGGAGTTCGTCTTCGTCCCCAGGGAAGGGCGCATGAGTGGCCACAATTATCGAATCGAGGATTGGCTCTTCTTCGATGGCGTTTCCAGGAGGGGTCGTGCTCCTTGGTTGAGAGTCCGGAACTTCAGGTGCTGGTTTCTCTGCGGTGTCTTTCTGGTTCGCAGGGTCGTCCTGTTGAGCAGGGTCCTCGTAGTACGGCTTGACCACCGTAGAGCGGAACTTCTGTGCGCCGCGGCTTGTTTCCACGATGCAGTCTTCGTCGTGGACACCGATTAATGTGAAAGGTCCTTCCCATCGGCGGCTTTTCTCGCGCCACACTCTCACACGTGACTGCAGTGGAAGGGTCGTGGTGCGTAAGGTGTCCGGACCATTGCGTGTGGTGCGGGCCTCCTGGACCTTGCGTTCAGCATGGAGCCTGCGGACGGCGTCTGTGGCTTTCTTGATCGCCTGGGCGCGTTGTTGTAGCGTTGGCGATGGCGCAGAGTTGTGTGTCATCCTTGGGTAGGCGCCAAATACCAACAGAGTTGGCACAAGTCCGTTGGGACCTGCAGTGTCGTTCACAGCCTTGACAGCCATTTGCAGAGACAGTTCTGGGCTTGCAGAGGGGTCCTCTTTGCGTAGGATTTCGTACGCACGTCGTACAGGTGCATGGTACCGTTCTACCTTGCCGATGCTGTTATGGGCTTCGATCGGGACTTCCTTGACGGTAATCGCCATCTCCTTGGCGTTCTGGCGGAACTCTGTGGAAGCGAATTGCTTCCCTGCATCGGTAACGACGTAGTCAGGGGGTCCTTGGTACACGTCAATCCAGCAAAGGCGCAATGCTTCCCACACGTACTTTGTTGATACGTCTGGAAGGAAACGCGCGGCGTTGAAAGCTGTGGCCGCGTCGACGAGGTGTAGAACTGGTTTGTTGCCCTCCACGTAGAAGATATCCATGATGACCTCGTAGTTGAACTCGCAATCATCGTGAAGGGTGAATTTGAAGCGAGCTGGGCGTGCGGAGTGCATTTGGCAGTGGTGGCACACTTTGGCGATGAGCTCCAGGGCTTGGATCTCCACTGGGTGTCCTGCAGTCTTGAGGAGCTTGTAAAGGCGCGCAACAGAGGGGTGTCCGAATCGTCGATGTAGTCGCCGCAGTTCACCGTCGGTGAGATAATTGCACACCAGAGCTTCCTCCTGGGTTAGTTGAAGCCAGGGATGTCCCCATTTCCGTGTAACGGGAACCTCGACGTCTCCTCGTTGTAGGAGGTTCCTCAAGTTGTCGAACTTGATGCCGAGTCTGTCCATATCCCTGAGGCAAAGTAGGAAAGGGGTCTCCGTTTCCATCACGTGGAAATCGATCGTTCCCAGGGGTGTGGGCACTGTTGTTGTTCCCAGGGAGGCCTTAGGTGTCCCATAGCCGAATTTGACGATGGCTTCTCCGGCCCTTGTTGTGTCCAGGGTAGCTGAAGGGAGTTGACGTTGCAGGGCCTGGAATTGCGGTTGGCCGGCTGTTGAGAATTGTGCGGCTCCGGAGTCGGGCATGATACCCCTGAAAGTTGTTGCAGAATACCGGCCCTCGGCGGTGTAAGTCTCCGAGGGGTCCTGCTCTTGAAAGGGGTCTTCCTTCGTTAGGAAGTGGTGGGTGGCCGCGTTTGCCAGGAGTGTCGTAACCTGAATCGCATCTGCAGGTGCGGAATCGTTGAAGAAGGTGCTGTGGAATTTTCCTCTGTTGTCGATAGTATCGTCGTCGTGATCGTCGTATTTTTGGAAGAATTGGCTGACGGGGTTATCTTCGTAATCGGCTTCGAGTTCAGATCCCTCATGCCAGTAGATAAACTGGGCAAAGGCTGCTATTGACCCGTCGCGTGCGTCCTTGTCGGCCTTGAACCTTTCGTAGGACTTCTTCCTGTCTTCGATTGGGTGAGTTGTTGACCAGCAGCCGGGTTTGCCGCACACGAAGCACTTCCTCTCGGTGGGGGGTCGACTGAATTTGGAGTTGCTGAATCCTCCTCGGCGTGGTCCTCCTTGGTTGCGACCAAATCTAGATTCTCTGCCGGATCCTCTGTACGTCCTGTCCGTCCAGAACGTCTCCGAGTCAGTGGCGTCGGTGTTGAACTGTTGAGGTCCGGGATTTTCGGTGGTGATTCCAATCGCCGCTTGCAGCTGGTTGCGGACGCCTTCGAAGGTTGGCGCCGGGTTGAAGAGGGCCATCCTGGGCCTCGGCAACACCACGGCATGCGTTCAAGAGTTGCATGCGCAGTGTATCCTCTGTCTGGCCAATTGCCGGTACTGCGCGTTGAATCAGGGCAAGCCTGTTGATCAGAAGTTCCAGGCACTCGGATTTGGACTTGTCCGGGGTGCTCGGCCTGCATGTTGATTAAATCTAGCGTCCGCGCCATGCTGCCAGAATACCGGTGCCCGCCTGCCTCTTCGTTCTTTTCGAAGTATTCCTCTGATCTCTTGGCTACCATGGTATCGAAGTCCCGGGGGCCGCTGCAAAGCCAGTCGTAATAGTATCGTAAGGCTCGGTCCTTGAGCATGATCGGAAAAGCGTCACTGGCTTGCCATCTTGGAATTTGGATTCGATTACACAAATCTCGGAAAATCGCCATTTTTGTGTCGAGAATGTCGTAGTCTCCGCCGCCGTACTTCATGTCGTCGCTGTACAACTTGGCTAAATCTGCGAGGTGTTTAGCATTTCCTCGCGGTGCGTAGTACGGTTCCTCGGACGGGCGGGGCCAGGTCTGGGGGTCTTGTCTAGTTTCCGAGGTTGTTTCCCAATCTGCTTCCCGTTTCGGTGCCGTCTGGGGAATGGGGTTTTGTTGTCGTGGCGCCGGGATTGCTTGTGGGATTTGCTGAGAGGCCTGTGGTTGTGTCGGGATGGTCGCTAGGACCGGTGAGGCGGTTGCTGGGGCTGTCGGGGTCGTTGGCGTCAATTGGGAGAGATCCTGGATGCTTTGGATGAACTTGGGGTTTTCCAGTAACTCCTGGTGCATCGTACTGTGGACCCTCGCAGTGTTGATCTCTTCGATGGACCAGGTGCGGAAAGTCGTTCTCTTGGCGATGGCTTCGAACTTTGCTGGTAGGGGGGTGTTGGTATTGTCGACATACACGCCGTTGGTGCTCAGGAAGGCGCGGAGGTGCTTTCGGGTACGGTCGGGAACCATGTCCCATCGTTGGGCGGTCCATTCGTCGAATTCGTCCTTGAATGCGCCCCAGAGCTTTCGTCCTGCGTAGCTCGTAGAAGCCCAGAAAATTTCCATGAGGAAATAGATGTGGGAGTTCATCTGCTTGGGCGTGGGCTCCTCGATCTCGTCGATGGCCGCGAGGTCTCCCCATGTGGAGTGATCCACGAAGGACAGGATGTGCTGGGGGATTGGCGGTGTAAGCGGGTTCCCTCCGGTTTGGCTGTTCCCTGGCGTTGACGAGCCCGGGTCCAGTTCCTCTGGTGACGATGTTGTCTGAGGCATTGTTACCTCTTTGGAAAGTGGATTTGATGTTTGGTTTTGCGGCGGTTGCCAGCAGCTCGCGAGGATCTTGGCGAGCGGGGAATGCGTGATGGACGTTCCTTCAGTGCGTCCTGAGTCCGAACTGTAGGATTGAGCCTCTCGTGTTCCTTCCTTTTGACTGAGTCCAAGTAAAGGTGTCGAGAATGCTCCTTAGCACGGTTTTGTTGAAGAAGTCACTACTCCGGTAGAACCTCTCCGACAATTCCGTCTCTTCTGGAAACCTTGCTGATCTGTGGCGGGAGCTGTCTAACAGTGGTATAATTAACCACTGATCAGTGTAGGGAATACCAGGTATCGCGATAGCGTTAGAAGCACAGGGCAAATCCCTTTTCTCTGGAGGGACGTGCTACATTCGTGGTTCAATTGGATCATGTTCTTCTATCTAGAAATGAGGGGGGCTCAGATTTTGCAGCCGGGGTTGTCGTCCCCGAGGTCCAGGACCACGTGACGACTGCCCCAGTGGTGGACCTCCCCCTGCCCTCCGTCACGTCCCCCTGCGAGGACGTAACTCTGGCGTAGATGTTCCGACAAGAAGGAGTGGTGAAAAGGAGGGAACGCCATTGTCCAAAAAGAGATGGGTTCCCATTGACGAGTCGTTGATTGGTGGGTGCCAGCTGAAGCTCCCAACAGCAGGAGGATTGTGACTCTCTCGTCCTCTCATCGCCCTCCATCATGTCTGCGTGTGCCACCATATACGGCGTGGCTGCTGTGCAAGCAACCACTACAGAAGCCATGTCTCAACCGGTGTAGCAACCTCACACCGCGGGCGAGGAGGTTGGATGCCGCACTTTTCTCGGCATTGGGTTCAGGCGTGATGTGATGCAAAGGGTCGGCGGCACGCTTGCGGCACGATGCAGAGCCCGAGTCCTCTGCTCGGTCGGCAGCTACCCATCTGGGAATGTCCCGGAATTGGGTGGAGAGAGCTCTGTCGTAGGGATGCAACATTGATGCAAATCACCTCCTGTGTGCTTCCATTCAAGCTGCAAGGTATTTTCAACATATGAGGACCTCACGGTTATGTGGCTGGGAATTTCTGAGACATCTTCCAATCGAAGAGGCGAAGATCATCTGTACCAACCACGTCCATGTTGTTCATTACAAGCGAAAGGGGGTAAAAGTTCAATAACTATCAGCTTGCTTTACATGAAGCATCGTTGTTTATCTCAACCACCGATTTCATAAACAAATGGTACCGAAACAAGGGCTGTGGGAAGGATGTGGGTTAATACTCATAGCAATGCACTAAACTGTCCGTTCCAAGATACAGACTCGACTACAACTTGGCAGGCAAGTGAAGTTAATGGGTTTCAGCTGACGAACAGTGGCATTTCTCAACGCTAAACACAGGCTGTGGGTTGGTTTTTAAAGCTGGAATAGTTAGGAAAAGAAGTAAAGCGGAGTAAAACCAAACGAAAGAAAGCGGAAGTAACATCGTGTAAACCGGGGGGGAAAGGAGGCTAGGGGAGCGTTGCGCCTCAGGTCACCGCGGATCGGTATTCACTCCTCTCTCAAGTTTCCTGAAAGGGTTTCAGAAATCCAGAGCCGGGGCTCAAGGCCCGTTGATCGTGAGCGACCTCGGTGGCTTAGATGTACATGCAGGGGCAAAATGATGTTTCCAACACCTGATATCAGGGATTCGGGAAGGTTGCGGTTTGCGGTCCCGAGCTCCTGACATTGGACGCGACCGAAGAACGTACCATACGCCCGTGATAATGAAGCGATATCGGGCACTGCAGCACCTGGCGTCCATGTTGCGGCGCCTGGACACAGATCCTGTTGATTTCATGCCATCGATCATAAAGCTTAATAGTTGCTGGGCGGTTAAACACGGCTACGCCATCGACTCTGCTCAAATGCCAAAATCCCCAATCTAGATGGTGCCTGTCCTGTGCAGCGTTGGCGAGGCACGCTTCGGGAGCAAACCATTCCAGCAGTGGACATGCCATGTTGGAGCTAGACCGCGTCCACGAAAACAAACCTGCTGTGTATCGAGTACATGTAGGATCGGGAGATTAATATTTGGGTCTCAAGTTTAGTGGTAACCCGGATGAGGACTAGCTCGTTTGCCCTCAATTCGAGATGCTAACCCGCGGCGCGGTAAGCTGTCGACGCTGGTTCAGGGGACAAGACGGGAAATCAAGGGGGGCGTTGGAAGTCTGTGACGCCCCATATGATCCCCATGATCAGTCTCCTCGGGCTACCACCACAAGGCATTGGTGGAGGTTGAATTGACTACATTCGAAGAAGAGATGAAACGGAATTTTTGCAATTTGCTAGGAGCATGCTAACATGAAGTTCATTGAGACCATAGATACATATCAATATTGAGCGTACGCCCCCGACGATCCTGATCGATCGTAACAGGGAAGACTTGGGCGTTGGGGACTTGGACGTTGGGAAAGCGCTCCTGTCAGCGATAGTGTCATAATACAGGATACAAAGGGACATTCACCTCGAGTGTCCGCCATGGCGATCCAACCTCAAAGGGCCATGTGACGTCACTCATTTTATGGCTGGACAACCAGGCTATAAAAGATGGCCATCGCCACCAAACCAAAGCTCCTGCAGGTCTAGAAGGTCAATTGACCATAACTTCTTAGCTACCCGCCAGTCTGATCGATAACATCAAACTCACGCCGTCCTTTGTCACTGCAGGTGTATCAGCAAAATGCCTTCGGGACTCAAGGACAAGAACGGGGAAGCCATTAGCGAAGGGCGACCATGTTTTTGCCCGCTCCACGGAGGCGGTAGGCACGGAAGGCGACGTCGAAAAGATTGTCACATCCCAAAGGAAGAAGCTGAGAAAGGAGGGTGTGAAGCATCCCCCCCAAGGTACATGCGAATCTTTCCCCTTGCTTATTACCTCGTCAAGACTTCAACACAACTTCAGTGAACTGAAATTCGGTTGCATCAGGTTCTTTTTACGGACCAGCATGGTCATAATGTGCAGCACAATCCTGGAGCTTTACAACATGGAGAGTACAAAACGTGAATTCGAAGTCCATGGGGCGTTAAGGGGAGGGGATTTGACCCGGGGGGAGGAGGTGTTGGCTGTTGATCAAATGAAGTAAAAAGCTGCGAAAATCAATTGGAGGGTGACTAGTCTAGTGGTCAGGACGTTTCGTTGTGGTTGATTCCACATGCAAAACCGAAGAAACCCCGGTTCGATTCCGGGGTCGCCCATTACTGTTTCTGATACATTTTTGGCAACAATTGAATGAAACCTTCGTCCTTACGGACAATTAGTTGCACGTGGACTGTTTTAGGTTGAGGGGCGACCCTTTTTGGATCACCGCCTACACCAAGATAACGATATACATATTTTGCAAAGTTGCAGTTTTACTCTTATTTACTTCGTACCTCCGGGATGAAATGCGACCGGATCCCAGTGGAGAGAGCGACCTGCAGGCGCAACACAAGAACTGAACTGAACCAAGTAAGGTATCTCGGTAGCTTACTCAGGCACTCGGCTCGCTCATAACGACGCCGGAATTTCTTGTATCGCCGCCCCGTGTCCGAGAATAGGTCTCGCTAAGAATACATGTTCAAAAACGGGGACGTCACGTCACATTACCAGATTTTGGGGTCTGGGCTCACGAATAACCGATCGTCGGCTAGCATTGGTAATCCTGTGGTGGGAAAGCTCGGAGTCGACCGTCTACAGTATGTCCATGCTGTGCAGACTGCAGTGTGACTTGCCGAGCTTCTCTTTTCGGTCGGAATAACAGGCTGAATGGACGTCGAGCCACCCAACGGCTAACGGTTAGAACCGTCATTACGGCCCACTTACCAAGAAGAAGAGGTTGGGAAACAGCAGTGGCTTGGGAGTGGGAAAGCTGCTCAAAAACGAGGAATGGTGGCTTCTCCATGTTCTTTTCCCCGCACAACCCCATTCTTCCCCGGTTCCCCAACCTGTGCGGAGAAATTCTATGGGTGGAAAAATATGTGTGGGTAAGAAGGCAAGGGCCCGTTAACCTCAATCTTGGCAGAGGGGAACCAAGGTTGAGATTTAGGATAAATTGAGGTGTGGAAATCGCCCACTTGGCGACAGGGGCGATGCAACTCTCGATTACAGCGTCCCGGGAGCATTTATACAACGGGGGACGATCCCCCAGAAGGTCCGTCATCATGGCAAGGTCACGCCGGCATCACCTCTCGACGCCGCCCTCAGCCTCACAACGATGCGGAGCTTATTGCTGCTCGCGGCCATCGGCTTCGCTGCCGCAGAAGACGGTCTCAGTGGCTGGTTGCGGTATGCCCGGATCAAGGGAGCCAATGGTTACCACAACAAACTCCCATCCGCCATCGTCACCCTGAACGCAACCGAGGGATCCCCGGTTTACACAGCAGGCCAGGAACTCTCCGATGGTATCAGTGGAATCTTCGGCAAGGACTTGGATTTTGCTACAACGAGTTCCCGCAAGCCCCCTCGGGACACCACAGCTACCGTTGGAACCGTTTCCGCATACATCGACAGCAACCCTGGCGCTGCAGACCGCCTTCCGGAGCTAGTCGACGATGGCTTCTACCTCAGCGTCTCCAAGGGGAACGTCCTGATTCTCGGCCAGAACGAGCGCGGTGCCCTCTATGGCGCCTTCCACTACCTCTCCCTGCTCGCCCAGGGCAACGCCTCGGACTTCACCCTGACCTCCAACCCTGAGGCGCCAATCCGCTGGGTGAACCAATGGGACAACATGCAAGACGGTGGCACACACGGCAGTGTGGAGCGAGGCTATGGTGGTGACTCTATCTTCTTTTGGGATGGCAAGATCCGCGATGACCTGACCCGGGCTGGTCAGTACGCCCGCCTGCTCGCCTCCATTGGCCTCAACGCTGTGGTTGTCAATAACGTCAACGCGGACGCGAAGACCCTAACGCCGGAGAACATGGACGGTCTGGGGAGGATTGCGGATGCGTTCCGGCCGTATGGCGTTCAGCTGGCCGTGTCGCTCAACTTCGCCGCCCCTGACACCTTGGGCGGCCTCGGCACATTCGACCCCTTGGACGAGACTGTTGCCAACTGGTGGAAGGACATCACGGACGAGCTCTACAAGAGGATCCCTGACATGGCCGGCTATCTCGTCAAGGCCAACTCGGAGGGACAACCGGGTCCCATGACGTACAACAGGACCCTGGCTGACGGCGCCAACATGTTCGCCCACGCTCTCAAGCCTCATGGCGGAATCATTTTGTTCCGTGCTTTTGTTTACGACCACAGGACGCTCAACCAAACCCTCGACTGGAAGGCCGACCGCGCCAACGCTGCCGGTGACTACTTCCACGATCTTGATGATAAGTTTGAGGACAACGTCGTCATCCAGATCAAGTACGGCCCCATCGACTTCCAGGTCCGCGAACCTGTCTCCCCGCTCTTCTCCCACCTGGTCAAGACCCCTTCGGCCATCGAGCTGCAAATCAGCCAGGAGTACCTCGGCCAGCAGGCACACCTGGTGTACCTCGCCCCCATGTGGAAGGAGATCCTCGACTTTGACTTCCGTGTGGACGGCAAGCCCTCGCGCACCTCCGACATCCTCAACGGAAAGCGCTTCAACCGCAAGCTTGGCGGCTACGCGGGCGTCGTCAACGTCGGCACCAACACGACCTGGCTGGGCAGTCATCTCGCCATGTCCAACCTCTACGCCTACGGCCGCCTCGCCTGGGACTCGTCGGCCACCTCCGAGGGCATGCTCGAGGAGTGGATCAAGATGACCTTCAGCGACGACAAGAAGGTCATCGACGTCATTACCAAGCTTTCGATGCAGTCGTGGCCCGCGTACGAGGACTACACTGGTAACTTGGGCATCCAGACACTGACCGACATCCTCCTGGGCCACTACGGCCCTAACCCGGCTTCGCAGGACGGTAACCCCTGGGGCCAGTGGACGCGCGCGGACGGTGACAGCATCGGGATGGACCGCACGGTGTGGAACGGTACTGGTTTCGCTGGGCAATACCCGCCCCAGATCGCAGCGATGTACGAGAAGGTGGAAACCACGCCGGACAATCTGCTCCTGTGGTTCCACCACGTGCCCTACACCCAAGTGCTCAAGTCAGGCAAGACGGTGATCCAGCACTTTTACGATGCGCACTACGAGGGCAGCGCTGTGGCGCAGACCTTCCCTCAACTCTGGGAGACGCTGCGGGGCCGGCCGGGCATCGATGAGGAGCGCTTCGACCACGTCATGTACCGGCTCGTGTACCAGGCGGGCCACTCGCTGGTGTGGCGCGACAGCATCAACACCTTCTACGCCAACAAGTCGGGCATCGCTGACACCAAGGGCCGCGTCGGCAACCACCCCTACCGCATCGAGGCTGAGGCCATGAAGCTGGTCGGGTACGAGCCCTACACCGTGTCGCCCTTTGAGGCCGCCAGCGGCGCCCGCTGCATCGTCACCAAGGACAACTCGACCCGCGCCACCGCCAGCGTCAAGCTGGAGGACGTCAAGACCGGCAAGTACGACGTCGCCGTCAACTACTACGACATGGCCCTCGGTAACTCCACCTGGGAGCTGTACGTCGGCTGCGACAGGATCGGCAAGTGGAAGGGCGATCAGGAGTATATCCTCGGTCGTGCTCCCTCGCCGTACATTGACGGCCAGACCGCCTCCCGTATTACCTTTAAGGGGGTTCACATCAAGAAGGGCAATACCCTCAAGATTGTCGGCCACCCGGATGGGCTTGAGCCCGCGCCGCTGGATTATGTTTCCATTTTGCCCGAGGGGACTGTGGATTAATTGTAGGGGGGATGTTGGAATGGATACACAAGCTTTTATTAATGACATGTAATTTAATCAAAGAATGAAGCATCATTGTAACCATCCCCAGCCTAGATGGAAGGCCACTATGATCATGTGTTGTATAGTAGTAATCAAGTGAAGGACTTGCAGTTCCTCGTCGAAGTGTCATCATCCATCCCGTCATCAGATTAGCGCCGTGAGGCCCGCCACCACGCACCGATCGTGCGATTATCGATGATTGATGTGGGTCCCCATATTAACAGCAATTACAAATGACAGGGGGATGGATGGGGTTGTCATCCAATTTTCCTTTTAAAATCGTGACATTTCTCTTTTCCCCATGCTTCGCTCCAAGTTTCCTACTATTCGGAAACGCTGTCCTCTTCCGGCTTGCCACCAAAACTTCCGGTAACGCGCGGGAGCCGCCAGACCTCGAGATGGTTTCGGAAACCATTGTTCGCTATGGCTTCACTTACGAGTACGGCCGATTTTATGCCAAGGGCCGGGTTGAATGTGTTAGAAGCTCACGTTTGAATCGGTATGTAATTAGAGGCCGGGTTTGAGCATTGCTCAGCCCCTGTCCGGGACACAGCGGAAGCTGACGAGACGGCTTAACATCCCTTGGCAAAGTCATCTTAGCTATCGAAGTTCCTCCGACTCCAGCCCGAACTGCCGACGATTAAACGAAGTATAGACGCGACCACGATGCAGCGGAGCAACCCAATGGCGCCATCTTTGCAAACTCTCCGCGCGATACCTAATCGTGAGAGCCGGTATTCAACTTTAAAAAGGCTGTGCTCGTACAAACTGTTCGATCATTTTGGTGTATAAGAATCACCCCGACACCCACTCAGGGGCTCGCGCAAGCCATCATTCCAGAATCCAACTTCACCAAAAACGAAAAAAAGATCACAAGCACACCACCCCATCTTCTAGCCTCCATTTTCCGACCCCAATTCACCAGCACCCCCCTCAACAACATGACATCCCCCACCACCACCACCACCACCGCCATCCCCCCAACCCACCTCGCCTTCCGCCGCAGTCCCGGCACGGGAACCGAACAAACCCCCCTCCCCCTGCAACTAACCACTGAACCGACCCTCCCCCCCTCCGGCCACCTCGGCCCGCACGACGTGCTCGTCCGCGTGCGCGCCGTCTCCCTCAACTACCGCGACGCGCTCATGCTGCGCGGCACCTACCCCGGCGGCGCCGTCCTGCCCAGCGGCATTGTGGCGTCGGACTGCGCGGGCGAGGTGGTTGCTGTGGGGGGTGGGGTGACGAGGTTTGCGGTGGGGGAGAGGGTTGTGCCGACGTTCGTGAGGGGGGGGTCTTTGGGGGAGGGGGGGGTGCCGTTGACGCTGGGCGGGGAGGTGGATGGGGTGTTGAGGGAGTTTGCGGTGTTTGGAGAGGAGGGGTTGGTGAGGTTGCCGGGGCATTTTGTTGTGGGAGGAGGTGAGTGGTGGGAGGGGTTTGGGGTGAGAAGGGGGGGCGTGGTTTTGCTGATATACAATGTGTAGGGGTGCGACACTGGGCTGTGCTGCGGTCACGGCTTGGGAAGGCGGTGGGTGCCCCGGACTCGCTGGATAAGAATAAGTCCGTCTTGATCCAAGGTATGTGATGGTTACGACCCCGCACCCCAACTTTGTCTAACGCGACCGGTGCAGGGAACCGGTTGGCGTGAGCATGTTCGCCCTTTTGATTGCGCTTACGGGCGGCCTGGAAGCCCATCATCACGTCGTCATCAGACGAGAAACTTGCGGCCCCTAGTTACGAAGCTTGACACACCTGACCTCGCCAGCTACAACTATCGCACCAACCCGGACCAGGTAGCCGAGGTGCAGCGGCTGACGGGTGGCAAGGGTGTTGACTACGTGGTGAACAATAACGGGCCGCCGGGCATCCCCGCAGATATCGATTCGCTAGTACCTTCGGACGGCGTCATCTCCATCGTGGGTTTTCTTGGTGGCAGATCGGCCGATTGGAACCCAGGAAAGTTGTTGGCATTGATTGCAAAAACGGCTCGTTTGCAGTACGTCTTTATTTAGTTCTAACCCTTTGTCTGGTGTGCTGATACAGTGGGCTTTTTAAATGTACACAGGGGCATCGCCGCTGGTTCGAAACTTGATTTCGAGGCACTGAACAGTTTTCTGGACGAGAAGCAGGTCCGCTTGGATCCTTTGGTCGACGACAAGGTCTTTAATTTCAAAGACTCACAGGCGGCTCTTGACTACCTGTGGTCCGGGAAGCACATGGGCAAGGTGGTTATTAGAGTTTGAGAAGCGCGGTGAGCTGTGTGGTTCTGCGGAATACATTTGTTAAGGGAGAGGCCCTTGAGGAATAATACGTACCTAGGTACCTACTACCTCCCCAGAATAGGCAAATAGCTGTTACCTGAGGTGATTTCTGTCCCGTGTAACAGAGTGCTTTGCCCCCATCTACTTCCTTTTTGTAACGACCATTTTTTCCTTGTTCTGTTCACCACGAGACGCTTGCGTTCCAGCTATGATCATGGCTTCAGCTGGATGTTATACAGCAATAGCCTACGGCTATGTTTATTTGCTTTAATATCTAGGCAACTACACGGCATGGGTAATAAGCCCCGCTATTCTTGACATCGCACTCCAAACAATTCGTACTTGATTTACCACATGTTACAGGATTGTACAGCCATTGGGGCACCATCCACCACTAGCATCTTCCGGGGCTTCCTGTTGTGTGGCCTTAGCCTCCCTAATCTTTCAGCCGTTGCAAGCCAGAATTCTGTGTGGTCCTTGTTGGCAATCTCCGCAAGTGCTACTTCCATCCCTTCTTTCTCAGCCTTCGCTCTGTTGTGCCTTTGGTGAGAACCGTGAATCTCAGCCATGGTGGCCTCCATTTCCTTCACGAGCTTGCTCTGCAGCCTGCTGACATCCAATTTCCAGTCACTTGTTTCCTCGGGTTGTCTGTGGCTCTGAGAGCTAATAGCGCGCTGGAGCATATTACCGGCCCGGAGCATTTCACGCTGGTGCTCGTTAAGCCGGTCGATCGCCCATGCCTCGACTTCCATGATCTTGTCTTCGGCTTCTAGAGCCTTGCGAGCACCATCCAGAGCCTCCTCTTTTGCTGGGAGAGGGGCGATAGTTGCCCGAACAATCATCATTTGAAACGGTGAGTCCAAGCTAAACATACTGAGGAAGCTGAAGATCGGGGCGAGAGTCATTAGCAAAAGAGAGGCGAGCGAGAAAAGCTCTTGTCCGGCCTGAGCAATCTCTCCACGTCTTTTTCTCTTAAGCTTGCCAAAGAGGTCATCTCCCCGGTCAAGGGTCCGTCGAGCTTCATCGCTTGCTTCATGGAGGGAAGGAATTTGTTCGTCTTTTGAATGCCTAGTTAGCATAAGAGCTATCAGACGCCTTCAACTTACAGAGTGACGTACCTGCATCCTGGAGTTCCAGGTCATCGAACATAGCTTGGCGATAGTGCATGGTCGGCGTGGGGTGGCATCTAGTGGCTGCTCCTTGCGCTGCTTGGACGATCTGCGCCGATAGAAACGTCCACTCTGGATCGTCGGCACCAGAAAATTTGCAAATGCCTCTATGGTCACGATTCGCAGTCCGAACTGTCTCTTTGCTCGCCGACAACCCAAGGGTGGCGGAGTCCTTCTGGACAATCTATACAATGTCAACTATCGGCATTTGCACCAAACACCACGGGTTGAACAAAGAAACGGACGTACGATACCCAATCCTGGCAGTCCTGGCAGTCCCTGGTACGGCAAACTCTCAACGCAGCTGTAGAACTTGTACGCTTCGTGAAGACGTTTAAATCTGGCATTGAGGTCCTCATTGTCGCTTGGTGCCCGCTTCAAACGCTCCAGTAAGGAATTGTTCGGTTGAATGGTCATGGTTCGATAGATGTCAGCGACAATTTGCCCCCACGAAGCGTGGTCGGAGCCTTTGTGCGGCACAGCAAGGAAGAAGATGTGATATGTAGAAACCCCAATCATGGGGTTTGCGCGATGTTCTTGCCACGCGGTGACCAAAGCTTCCTTGACAATAATCCCACCCATGGTATGGGCGATGAAGATGATGGGCCTCGATTCGTTTTCCTAGAGCAGGCCGGCAGATGGTTAGAAACAACTTGTAGTCTTAAGAGTAGGTAGCCAGCCGCTTCAGGTTGGGAAACGGACCTTGCGAACCGCCTTGAGACACCCCAGCAGGTTAATTGCTTGCTCTCGGACGCCAGCCGTTGAGCTGCCAAACATAACGTTCGCGTTGTACTGAAAAGCCAGGACCCTTGCTTCAGGAAGCCTTTCGGGCAGCAGGGTCCGTAGCCAGTTCACCCCAGTTTCGTCGTGCGTCCATGTATTCTCCGCATGTGTCTCATTGCCCCAAAGGTTGATTCCATGCACAGCAATGATGCTTAAACGCAAAGATATCAGCCAAAAAAGGAGTCAGAAATGATAGGGGAATTGGTACTAGGTACTTACTCGACTGTCGGGCTGACGGGGTTCGAAATGGCGATGAGCGTATTGGAGTTGGACAGATTGGGCGTCTAGGCGAATAATGGGGGGGGGCCAGGCAAGCTGAATGTGGAGTGGATTCGTGAGATCACTTACCATGATTGCTTAAATTTCTTGATGATCACGACTGGTGCTCCTTTAGCTTTGGATCTCATGAGGGAATGATGGTAGGAACTTGCCTTGACGCCAGGCACTGGCAGCAATGTTGTCCGGATAGCCTTAATGCCCAACCCATCGGCGTGGTGCCCAACGTCTCACAATGATTGACCAGATATAGGTAGGTTAAAGTGACGCCATTTGCCGAGCTGTAAGTTATATGGTGTGTTACACGAGGAGCTGGAGTGGTTCGAATCGGAACTGAACCTCTTGGACAACATGCCATTGTGGCACCGTCACAACACGGCCGCAAAATTCGCTCGCAACGTACTTCAAGAGTCTTATAAATGCCGAAGCCACAAGTCACTTCAGATTTTGTTTCTTAGTAAGGGTAAATGGCAGGGAAGTAATCCCTGCTGTCGCCGAGATCGTCCGCGACGACGTATTTGTACCTCGGCCAGGCGCTACAGGTCCATCCCACAAACCAGGCCCACGCCACATATCTACCCCCCCGGCTGTTGAAAAAGCTACCTGCCGGTTTAGTCAGACACTTAAGACAGGTAAATACCAAGTACCGTGGAAATTCAACGATACCCAATTCTCCTTCTACTGTGCAAAGGTCGGTTGACTTTCCCTCACAGCCGCCCTCTCTTGTCTCTTTGGCCCGGCTAGCTCGCAAAATGATATCGTGTCTATGTAGGTAGGTACCTTGGGGGTTACTCTGGCGCGTCGGAGCCAACAGGAACATTCACTGTCTTGTCGCAGCAACGTCATAATACTTGAAATCCTAGAATCACGAATAATTACACCGTAGTTGAAGGTCTATTATGTGTTGGGGCTACAGATTATGCAATCACAGAAAGGGAAAAGAGGCTTACATAGTTATGTATTGTAACTTTTCAGTATATTAATTAATGCCGGACATCATAGACGATCTTCTTATTCAGGTACCTGGGGTGATACTCTCCACCCCCCAAATGATAACTAGATGGGAATTAAGAATGGTCAAGCGTATGATCATCCCCATCGATATCCTTACGGACAAGCTGAACCACAAGTTTCCAAGCCCCAAGTCGCGCTCCCAACTATACAACAAGGCCATGACATGCCACGACATGCGGAAGGTCTCGTACATCTGACAATAGCAAAGAAATTCATCGCCACTTACGAGATCGCCAAGATCCCCAGGGGCATCGTTTGGCTCTATTTGCCGGGTCAAATCGCGGGACTTCATGTCCGCCCACCTTTGTTTCAAGAAGGTCTGTCGTGCAGCAACAGTAAACGCGCCGAAGAACAAGCACGATGGGAGTAAAATATAGTATGCTTGCTCCAACGGAGTCAACTCACCGCCCAAAGATACAACATTTGCCCCCAGTGGCAGGGTAAACATTATGAGGCGATCAAGATGCACGAGCCCAAGGAGGCGTCGGCCAACGGTATAGTGAACCAACTCACTGATGGACCAAGCCCCAGCCGAGAACAAGGATGACCGAGAGACCATCATTATCAGCGAGAACAACCGAAAAGCGACAGTGTACAGCCATGAAGGGCCACCTAGTACAAGCCTGCAAAACAGGATAAGAACGAGTTGAACAACCCTTCCATCTTGTGCGAGCCAATCCCACATGCCCTTGACACGTTGTAGAATGCAGACATCCCACGCCGGCTCTGCATCATCTGCGCCAGGGTTGCGGTCTGCAAAGTCTTGGGAGTCCCATTCGTCTAGTGCTAGCACAGCTGATTGAACAATGACCCCCTGAATCGTAGCCGCTATGGCAGAGCCGATACGGACCGGAATCCATGGGATGGCAATGATAGTCCGCCACAGCCCTCTCACAATACCAGGATCGCCTTGATCCATACGCTCACGGCGCGCCCGGGTTGGAGGCACGTAGCCATCAACAAAGGCCTCCGCAAGTTGGATGAGAAGCCCTGCGACCGCCAGAAACGCCGCTTCACCTAGAACATACTTGAGGATCCCGCTGGGAATCTTCGTGAAGTTTGAAATGATGCCTTTAAAGGTGTTTGAATAACACATCAAGCAGAATACGATTAAGCATTGGTAAGGTAGGCCAAGTGTGGGGATGAAGCAATCTATCAGGGATAGGAGGCTTAATATTGGCACCATGCTATCCACCGTGAGCTTCATGCTCCGCCTCCTCATCGTGGCAATCCTTGATTGGGTGAACATGTTTGCGAATCCCTTCAAGTAGGTTTGATGAGGAGTGAGAAAATTTCCTCAGAAGGGAAAGCTTTTACCTTTTAATGGCTGGTCTAGGGTGATCTACCACCATATACCTCTGGTTCCAGTCCGTCATATGCCTGTTCACACTACCTATCTAAGTTGTCCCTGTAACACTTGAAGTGTACAAGCTTCTTTGTGGGTGTTCTTTCTTAGATATTGTGTAATTGATGCTCCCGCCGAGCCGTCTTCAGGCGGACGTACCTAATCTGACATTTTCAAGGCGTAAGCACTTGGAAGCTCCCTCACGACTTGTTCAGCACGGATATCACTGTCCATGCAAAGTCCAAGGAGATTGTATGATGATGATGATGTAATGCATGGCTGCCCGCAGCACTCTATAATTTCCCCACATCCCATACTATGGAAGCCTCGTACAAGTTGGCAATGTGACCGGTAACAAAGAACTCCATTCCTCATTCCCCATTCCCCATACCTATCCACCTTTCTTCAAATGTCATCCCCCTGCTCACTGTTCCCTTTCTGCGTCATAGCACAACCCTGGCCGACCCAACTCAGCAAATAATACAGCCACAAGACTTTCCCCGTTTAATCGGAGTAGGCTGGCGGGGATTGGCCTGGCGTAGAACGAGGGGTGGCGAAGCCGGACGGCCGGGAGCAGGGCGCGGCGGAGGGTACGTGACGGGGGTTGCCGGTCGGGAACCCTGCAACCCAAACGCGAGCGCGGGCTGGCCGAGTATCTCTCCGACATAAACGCCGCCGACATGTTTTCCGAGCTTCCTAGCCAGGCTATTTGCTGTTCTCCCTAGCTCCGTGGTCAGGAACTGTCCCCTGTGGATGTCCGAAGCAAAGAGCCATGTGCCCGATTCCCAACCCTCGAGTGCCTGGTATTGTCTGATGAGTTCCCTTGTGTTCCGGTTGTCGATGTTTTGGATGACGAGGAGGTTGATGTTGTCCGCCCTGACTCCGGATATGGCCAGGCTGTTCGCGATCAAGTGTTTCACTTTAAGATATCTTCCATCGCCCGCACGCGTGTTCTTGAGGTTGTCCAAAATGAGAACTTCGTGGGCCTTCGAAATTGTGATTCTGGCTCGAAGGTAGTCTTCGCCCTCAAGGTAGAGCGAAGCAAATTCGGCAGGAGAGTGGGTTTTGCCATAAACTGTAGCCATCAGGGACTTGTATTTTGATTTCTGTGTGTAGGAGGATTCGGATGGAATATATGGGAGGCCAGGTAAAGTGGTGAAGGACCTATTGGGGGCGTTGGCGGCGTCAACCTGGAGAAAGCGTTGGAAAGAAGGCATTTTGGGAGATGGGTTCGATTGTTGGCTGTGGGACTGGGAACTGCCTCCTGGGCTAGCGGTCGCGATCAAAGAGTGGGTGTTGTCAAAGATGAGAGTGTGTTGTTGTTGAATGATGAGGGAAATCCAGGAATTGTCCGTCGGATGTCGAGAGGCTCTTATACCCCATCCCCGAGCTCCCAGCCATGGGTTTAATGCTGATAATCATCCCCATCCAATTTAATGACGAGTCTCAACTTCCGCTCAACCTCGTAACCTGTTACCATTGCCATGTCCACGCCGCGGTCGGACACTTAAGTTGGCAAACGCAAGGTGGGTTCTATCAGGTGGATTCTATTTTGACAGGAAACCGGCAGAAGATGTTGCGGGAAAGGCCGGAGCCAAGTCCAAGGAAACAGGGACCATACGTCGAATGTTAACGAGGTGCCGAATGAGATGGCCATGCGATGGCAATGCTATTGAAACCCTGCTTTCAACACAAAGAATGTGTAAGGTTGACTCCACTGCCCCACCATCACGAATCCACAGCTGTTATGCTTTGCCGTATTTTCAAGTCCTTGTGCCGTGAGATATGGAATACTGGAAACCCAAACGGGAATGCGAGGTGTGGAATCAATGATACCCCGGGCGAGATGGCGAAGTGGCGCGGCATCGGATTACATTACGAGTTTGCGTGTACATGACAGTCGGAGGAAACATAGTTACCACCTGTTTAAATGCCTCGCAATAGTGAACTGTACGCAATAATACGACAGGAATTTTTCAACTGTTGCGCCGATTAATTACTTACCTGTCACCTGCGCTCCCACCCGGCACGTGGACTTGGCCATATCATAAGCAACCTGCTAATTAGCACATATTCAATGGCTTCTCGGAGAGCAAATGTGGGGGAAATTGTACATTCTACGTATGTACGGCGGCCAATCTAGAGCCCGGGAGACTCCGCGAAGTCTGTATTGTTGGGTAAGGTTATTAGGGAGGCCCATCTCAAGTTAGTACCTCCCTACATGTAAGGTACCTATCACCTTAGGTACCAACCCTGGAAACCAGCCAGGGGGGCGGGCATTCACAATTTCCATCGGGTCGAGCGATACTCGACGACATCGGAGATATATATGGCGCCGATAGCCAAGCATTTCGCCCTCGTTCTCGTGCCAGTGACACACACCTCACCGAGCTCTTCGGTGAAAATCCCCATCTGCCAATGTCCCGTTACCAACGCAAGGGAATGTAACCTTAGCCTCATGCTCTCCGGCTGCATGATGCTTATCAATCTATTTGGTAGGAGTCCCTTCTGGGCCACCTTCCGCGTTGGGTAGCAATAAAGCTGCAGCTGAACCGTGTCTCGTAGTCCGAGGCTGTCCAAAGTCCGCCCCATGCTGCATCGTGCATGTCAACCCCCGCACCACGGCTTGGGAAAGCAGTTCACATCCCTCTACATGCGTCACGTTCCGTCAGCAGCACAGACAATTCAGCTACTGGTAATATAGGGGCTTCTCCTCTTGGTTTCTTGGGGAGGCTCCGGACCCAAAGATAGCGGTCCGGGGAGAGAGGACCGCAGCGCAGTGCAGTATTCTTTCCTACCGTAACATCTGCAACTATTCTAGGGTCCAACCGAATGGGCACACCATCCCTTCCATTGTCCGCACCCCGCGTCGGAGACGCACGTAAGCCACACAAGTAACATGAAGGTTCCGCCGCATATGGGGATAAAAGGAGGCTACACTCTAGAGTGACGAGCACTAAAAGCGTAAGGTATTTGTAGTAAAATAAATCCAATTCCAAACATCGCTATGGCTGCTCTTCGGCTATCTCTAGGAGTATTACTACTGGCGGCAGTATCGGCTTTGGGCAAACCATTCCCTTTCGAGACTGTGGAGCTAACTCAAGCTGATGCTCGACGTTTCCCCGCGATCGGTTTTGGCAACAGAGAGACAACACCACACCGGGCTAGCACCACTCGTCATTGCCGTGCATGGCCTGGGAATCACGACTGGCCTAGCGACTTGGAGTGGAAGCAGTTGAACAGCTCCCTTGGCGGTGCCCTGCTCCGACCTTTCCCTGCAGCATCCGCTTGTTACCAAGGAGACTATTACAATGAGACCACGTGCCGGTGGCTTTTGGATCAGTCTAGGAGGACGCACTTCTGGATCGAGGAACCGCTCTCAACTCTCACGCAATGGCCTCAAGGAAGCACATGCCCTTTGGTTCTGGACGCTCAAGGCACCTGTACTCGGGGGGGGTTTCCGGAATACGTGGTCAACGCCACAACTGTGAAGCACATCCAGGCGGCGGTCAACTTTGCCAGAAACAAAAATGTCCGCCTAGTCATCAAGTAAACAACCTGCCCTTTTTTATGCTCTACCCATTGTTTAACATAACAACAGGAATACCGGGCACGACTTTGGTGGTCGGTCCATGGGAGCGGGATCGTTAAGCATCTGGGTGCACAACCTGAAGGACTTCGAATTCATCCCTGAATACACCATAGGCCCCTATTCTGGCATGGCAGTTCGCGTCGGGGCTGGAGTAGAGAGTTGGGAGCATTTCAACCACATGGCAGCATACAACATTTCGGTCGTTTCTCCTGGCGGAGGCACTGTCGGTTCTGTGGGAGGATGGGTTTCCGTCGCCGGTCACGGGTCCTTGACCTCGAAGTACGGCCTAGGAGCCGATCAAGTGTTGTCAATCAACATTGTGACGCCCGATGGCAAATTCCTGACCGTGGACCCCCACAAGAACAAGGATCTATGGTGGGCACTTAGGGGAGGTGGACCGAGTAAGTCCTGGCCTAACAAAAAGGTGGGATCCCAAATACACAAACAACACTAACACAAACAGGCACCTTTGGCGTCATCACCTCGGTCGTTCTCAAGGCTTACCCACCCATCAGCATGACCAGCGCCAGCCTCGCCTTTGCCGTCAACCCCTCCCTCAACAACACCACCCCACCCACAGACCCAAACGCCCTCGCGGACCTCACCTCTTTCTGGGACGGCGTGTCCCTCGCCTACCGCTACTGCACCCACGTTATCGCCGCAGGCGGCTACTGCTTCAGCTACATCTACCCGCAGGGCAACTCCTCTTTCCGCTTCACCTCGTCGCAGCTCATTCCCAACATCACCGCGCCCGCCTACCGCGCCCTCCTACAGCCCCTCTACACCGAGCTCTCCGCGCGCCACAACATCCCCGTCGCCCTCCCCACAACCATCACCTCCTCCCTCTACGCCGGCAACGGCCAGCGCACCGGCGCCGGCGACTTCCCCGTCAATACTCGCTACCGCTCGCGGCTGTTCCCCGCCCACATCTGGCGGAACGACACCGCATGGGACGCCGTGTTCGCCGCGATCCGCGCGGGCGTCGAGGAGGGCGGCTACGACTTCCACGGCATCGGGTACTCGCCCACGACGGAGATTGCCGGGTGGCCGGGCGCCGACAGCGCGGTCAACCCGGCGTGGCGCAAGACGGCGCTGCACGCCATCTTCATGGAGGTGGTGCCCGTGGGGCTGAGCGCGGCGCAGGCGCGCGCGGCGGATGCGAGGGTGCAGGCGTATGTGGCGCGGTGGCAGGCGCTGATGCCCGGGGTGGGGGCGTATATGAATGAGGGGGATCCGGCGGAGCCCGAGTGGCAGGCGAGGTTCTATGGCGAGAAGTATGCGCGGTTGTTGGAGGTCAAGAGGCGGTGGGATCCGTGGGGGGTGTTTTGGGCGAGTACTACCGTGGGGAGTGAGGAGTGGGAGGTGGTGACGGAGGATGGGTATCCGATGGGGCAGAATGGGCGGCTGTGTCGGGTTGGGAAACGGGTGTAAGCCCAGATGGGGCGGGGGTTGTCGAGTTGGGCCAACTCAAGCCGTGACTTCTACATCATCACACCTCATTCACTGGATCATCATCATGGCAGTACCTGCTTGGCCTCTTCACTGTCAGGGTGGTCTCACCTGGACACTCGAAGCCACAAAACAAACCATGATTTTCGCTATCGGATGCTATGCAATGCCCATTCCCAGAACGCCTAACATAATGAAATGCTGATCGTGGCCCGTTCATACCCCAGGCTGCCAATCTACCCCATTACCCGACATCCCTCCCCATCATTGACGCCCCAAATCCCCCAGATCCCCCAAATCCGGGCTCAGAAAACCCCCTCAACGCCTCCTCCACCGGCGTCAGCGGCTGCATCCCATCACCACCCGGACTCTCCCCCATATTCGGCGACGCCACCTGGCCCATCCCCAACCCCGCATTCCCTCCGGGCCCCGTCGGCACCGGGTTCGCAAACGCCGTCTCCAGCCTCGGCCGCACCATCATGGCATTCGGATCCATCGGGCGCGGGTACACAATGCCAATCCCATGCTGTTGGCCCGTATACGGCGGGTACGTGCCCATGACGCGCGCCGACGGCATACCCTGCATGGTCGTCGGCTGGCCCTGGCCGGGGTGCATTCCCTGTGGTGCGAAGGGGTGCGGCGTGGGCTGGCGCAGCCCGTAGACGTTCTGGATCTGGGGCATGCCGCCTGGGTGCATGGGGCCCATGGTCATGCGCGGGTGCATGCCGTTCATGGGTGGTGATGCGTGCATGCCCATGGGTGGGGGTGGAGCACATAGGTCCTCGATGATGGGGCCGTTGGCGAAGTTGGCTGCCCATGTGGTGTTGGGGGACATGGAGGTCTGCATGGGGGAGTGGCCGACGCCGGGTGGGGGGCTGCCGTATGCGGAGGGGTGCATGGGCATGGCTTGGCCAGGCATCATGCCTTGTAGCTGGGCTTGTTGGGGGAGGGCGCCATATTGTTGTTGCTGTTGCTGTTGCTGTTGGTAGGGGTTGACGGAGTAGACCGGGTTGGGGACATAACGGGAACGGTTCATGGCTTGGTTATTGGTGGTGTCTGTACGATGTTTGTTTACCTCGGATACCTCCTTGGGATTATCGGATCTGCTAGGATCGTCGTTTAGAGACGACAGGAGGCAAAGCGTGAAAGAAGTGATTGACGGTTTGCGAGGAGGATGGGTACGTACAAGCCTTATAGTCATCCCGGGCCGTGTGTCAGAGCGGCAAAACACGGCTTGCTCGGGACCGCAGTTCCAAACAAGGGGATTGTAGGTCCCATGCGGAGGCCCATATGTTGTTGTCTGTTATTGTTTCGGGTGAGGCCATTCCCCTGGGTGGGACTTGGGCGCAACCTGGGGTAGCCAAGGAGGGGAGGCTTAGGGGGGCTTGTTGTTGGGAAATAGGTTGGTGGCTTTCCATTACGGCCGGATAACGAGGAGTCTTGGAGCTTTTTGCGTTTGAAACCTCTCGTTTGCCTGTTTCAGAAACCGGTCGCGGCTAGACCGGATGATGGCCGGGGCCGGGCCCGGCCCGAGTACCCCATTTTTCTACGGCACAGAACGGAGTTGGGACCCACTCTGTTCCGAAGCTCTCCGGTGATCAAAAGGGGGAAAAAGAAGCTGGATAGTTTGGACCCCAAAATGTTGGCGACTAATCACAAGGCTTGTCAGCGAGCTAATGACATATGGCTTATGTGGGCTTTTGTCATTAGCGGAAGCTTCTCGCTCAACGCATCAGAGATCTGAGACAGGTCGAGTCCTTTTCCATTTGGGGTCCCTTATTCACACAGTCTCCCACCAAGCCGAGGCAGAACCTGGGCCATTGTTTCAGGCCCATCGATCTTTCTGAGTTGTGACAGGAACTGAACTTTTAATGTCCCAAAATTTATCGCTGCCTTTATCGATGTGGGACCGTTGAGGTGGTCGCTGCTGGGATTTCCGTTTTCGTGGTACTCACATCTATCAAAACTCTCTTTTCACCACCCCACGATTCAATACTGTGGCATCTCAACCAACATCCACCGGTTTGCAAAGTTCCCACTTCTCCCACTAGCAATCCAACCCACCCGTCGACATGTGGCTCCAGCGTGCACTTCTCCGGTTATCTATCCGGACCAGGCTCAGGAAACAAAAGTTCCGAGAGATCAAGTGGGTCGACGACGATGAGGTGCGTCCCGTTACCCGCGGCAAAGCAAAGCAGTTTGGGCGGCCCGAAGATATCTCGCCCAAGGCGATGCCCAAAGGAAATGCCCCTTACCGAATGATGTCGAACCTCTCCTACTCGTCCCAGGCGCCCCTAGCGCCCCACAGCATCGACGAAGTGATGAGATCTTAGACGTTGGGGGGTGGAGTGGGCGGCACTTTGGAAGCGGCGAGGGCATTGGGTGAGGGATATGATATTGCATTTTGGGTTGTTTTTCATGAACGGCGTTATACGTATTACTTACGAATTGTCATGATATACCCATTTGGGGCTGTTGATTCTCATCACCATGCAAGGTTTCCGCCAGCCGATGCATGATCATAATCAAAGGCAAGATGTGTCCCATTAATCACGATACGCCAATCCCACAATGAGTCCCACCGCGCTTGGTAGCGCATATCCCAACTCCGTGCTCCGGGCCGATCTCAAATACATCTAGAGAACCCCCAAACCCATCCCAAAAAAAGAAAGCAAATCCACCGCCCACTTCTAACATCCCATCTATTGAAACCAACCCACCAACGCCGCACTAAGCACCCCCTCCCCCCAACAACACCCACCCTTCACATCGCCGTAAACCTGGTCATCCTCTCCTCAATCTGCAGCTGCACATGCCTCGGCAGACTACTCAACGGCGTCCAATTCGGCACATAATGCGGGCCCCGATTCATATACACCCTCGCGCGGTCCGCATTGCGCGACGCATTCGGCGGGTAATAGGGGGTGCGGCGCGCGGAGCGGATCATCGGCGGCGGCTGCATCACGCCGCCGCCCATGCCGCCCATGTCGATGTCGCCCAGCGCGGGAGGCGTAGCCGACAGCGACAGCGACGAGGAAGTGGAAGTGGAGCCCGCGGAGGAGGCGGAGGAGGTGCTCCGGGAGCGGGGGCGGGTGGGTAAACGGTGAATACGTTGGGCGGCGGAGGGCCAGCGGGGCAGGGTGGAGGTGGGCGGGCTGGAGGTCGGGGTGGTGTTGCGGCTGGAGCTGGTGCTGCTGCTGCGGCTGAGGGTGGCCGGGGAGCGGGCGGCGAGGCCGGGGCTGGTGGCGGGGCTGGGGAAGCTGTTGAGGGAGGTGTAGCTGAGGTTGTTGTTGTTGTGGTGGGTCGGCCGATGAGGGGTGCTGGGCGGGGACGGTAGGTCGAAGTAATCGAGGAGGGAGCCGTCGGAGGGGCCGAGGGTGAGGGACCCGGAGGAGGAGTATTTGGTTCCCGGTGCGGTCTGATGGACATCCTCCATCAGGTCGTCCTCCGGTTTGGAGAGGGAGCGGAACCGATCCGGTGTATAGTGCCTGCTTGTGAAGGAAGGCATTTTGGCGGCGTTTGGGACTGTTTCTTCTTTTTTCTTTCACAACTAATTCTCAAGTTTGATGGGGACCGAGATGCGCTCGAAGATGTCGACTCCGGGAGAAATGGCAAAAAAACAGCGAAGCCAGCGCTTGCACACGAAAAAACAAGGTGTGACGAAGAGAACGGAAGCCGACTGACTGAGTTTGAGAACGGGTCAACCGCGCTGGCAGACCACAAGGTCATCTTGCACGGCGACCTGACCGGTGGCTTCTGTTTTAATGATTCGTGTAAGACACCCCGGTCACCGGACCTGGGTCGGCTTCATTGGCCGGAGCCTCGCAACCTCCCAAAACGTGTTTCGGCGCTAAATTTAGGGTCACCCGCTGGTTTGGGACGCCTTTTGCAGACCATGCGGCGCCAGAGGCGGCGGTCGAATCAGGTGCCGCTAAATCACCAACGCGCACTTCTCTGACGGTTTCAACGGCAATGTCATCCTTTGCATGTGGCACGAGTACCACTGAATTACAGTGGTTACCCGGAGCTGGGCTGCTGAAACGGATTAGGGTCGCCTTGGTGGCCTTGTTGGCCGTGATACTGGGGCTGTAAAAGAGCGATCTTGGTCTTGCCGGGGTCGTCGGTCGAGATCCCGTCTGCGATCATCCATCTTCTTCGGTTCAGCCAGTAATTATCTTGGCGTTGTGGAAGGTGAGAAGATGTTTGTCGCGATGGTAGGTTCGCAAAACTGTGTCGAATCTCAACCCCAACTCGGACAAGAGTTTTGTTTGGCGATGGGAATTTAGGTCTTGTCGGTTTCCACCAGCGTCGCTGTCAAGTGTCAAAGACGAAGGACAAATGCAAACCAGAGGCACAGATTGGGCGGGCACAGGATTCGAGATCGCACAAGTTGTGGGGAAGGAAAATGTAACCCCACACCAACAGCGGCGGGAGAGACGATAAGATAACGAACCATCAGCGAGAACTTGCACAAGAAGTTCTCCCAAAGCTGCGAACAAAGCAAAATTTGCACCACCCTTGATGAATCCGAACTCGCTATTGCTAGTGATATGAGATGCAGGAAAACCAAATGTATATATGAATGGATATCCATAAACACAACAGACTCGCATACTATTGTTGATCATGCTCCTATCATATCCCCAAAAAAACATCCCAAACCCCACCTCCTAGGCCCTGACGCCAGCAACTGGGCAAACCGCCCCCTCGGCGGCACCATCAACGGCCGGATGCCCGTGGAGCTTCCCCTTATGATGCCCGACCTTAGCCTTGGTCACGGGGCAGACGGCGTCGTCCTCGCGGCCCTCGGTGGCGGGGTGGTCGGGCGGGAGCACAGTGGTGGCAGTGCCCACCACGGGGCACACGTCGTCGTCCATGGCCTTGCTCTTGTCCTCGTTGACGAGGCGGCCCGTGAGCGCGGGGCAGGCGGAGGCATCGCCGGCGGAGCGGTCCTCCGGGATCGGCACCTGCGGGTGCCGGTGCAGGTTCGCGTGGTGGTCGGTCGTGGCGCCGACGACGGGGCAGACTTGGCCTGGCTGCGAGAGGTCGACGTCGGGGTGCGACGGTGGGAGGGTCGTGTTGGTCGTGCCGACGACGGGGCAGTTGGCTTGGGCGGAGGCCATTGTGGTTGTGGGAAGTGGAGAGTAGTGGTTGGGTTTCGTTCGTGGATCAGGTACTTGTGAGGTCGGTTTGCGTCGAGCTTAGCAGCAGACTTGACTTGGGAGCGTGGGTTGCTCGGAGAACTGAGTATTTTGGACGATGAAATTGGGAGGTTCGGGTGTCAAAGAAGGTGGTCACAGGAACGGCCGGTTGCCTGGCGTTAAGAACAACAGGCAAGCTGCCTGTTCATCCTTTGTTGGCCTCTCCCTGGTCAGCCCTGGTACGAGGCAGTGTTGGGCCCCAGCGGCTACCCTGGAAGGCGATGACGTAGTGGGGTATTGCGGCCAAGCTTCGAGCGTGCAAGCCAATCGCAAGGATGATCGGCGGAAGCATGTGTGCACTGCGGGGCATTGCGGGGCAGTCCAGGCCGTTCACAAGCGGACCTCCTGGTTGTTATCCAATCATATCTAGGGTATTGGTCAGATCATGTGGACGTTGCTGCCCCGCGAGCGCGCGGCACCCCGCCCTTAACCCTAACCCTTAAACCACAACAACGACCAGAACGAGACAACAGGTAATATTGCTCGGATTAATTGGATAACTCTGGTTCAACCAACTCCTTTCCCACCGATCTCTAATCACGGTGCCTACTTTGGGCGGCATCAAAAACGAATATGAACATACCTACTTAGGTAGGTACCAAGTTAACTTCCAAGTCCTCCCACATCTCCACTACAGCGGACCCACCCGCCTTCTTGAACATTTCCCCAGGCTCTTCAATGGCTGGATCATGTTTTCACCACAAGCTTGTTATTCCCTCTTAAATTTCCTCAGACCTAACCCAAACTTCACAATGTAGTATTCCTCGGGATATACCACTTCCCGCCCAAGCTTGACAGTATCGTCGTACGTCAAGGTCCAGTAGAAGCTATCAGCCTGGTATGGAACGAGCTCGAAGGTGTCTGCCTCGCGACCCATGTACGCAATCAGTAGGCCATCCCTTTTCTCGTTAAAGCGGACTTGAATAAAAAAGTTGCCGCCCAGGTTGTGATAGTCTCCGATGTAAGCATTTAGAGGGCGATTCGGTTGCTCCACAGTTCTGCCGGCCGCGAGGCTCTTGCTGGTATCCTGGAATCGCTGAACCGCACTCTCAGCTGCTTTCTTGGCCACAACTTGGTAATCTTGAGCGTTGTGTGAGTTGTTGAAGAGGGCCTCAATCAGAAGCTCCCCAATCCAGCGGACCCCGTTGTTCCGTAAAAGGGAGTTGGTGAGAACCACAACCGCGCTTCCAGATGCCGGGAACAAAGCGTTGTAGGTGCTGAATCCGGCAATATCTCCTCCGTGGTACACTGCCAGCTTCGGCGGTGCGCCAATGCCAACCATGGGATTGAGGTCGTCGGGACCGTTATCACCTGGAGCCAAGATACCGGGCAGCTGTGCCCCCGCCCAGCCAAACCCGTAAGAGTGCTCTCCAAGGGAGAAGGACGGCAGTGGTATACGGCCCTTCCAGAGCTGAAGCACATTTTGGAAAGGGCGCCCGGTTTGGGTGAGCGATTCAGATGTCGCTTCACTCGTCATCTAGTCCTTGGCAGCCTTCAAAAATGCTTTGTAGAGAACCAAGAGGTCATTGACCGAACTTCGAATCCCCCCAGCCGACCCCATTAGGACGTCCTCTCCCGAGAGGGGTGTCGGAATTTACACGATCGAGGCATTGGCCAGAGACGCATACGCCTTTGCTTCATTGCCTCTGCTCTCTCCTGCGTAGTATGTTTGTGTCGGGATATCTACGCCAGAGTTACGTCCTCACAGGGGGACGTGACGGAGGGCAGGGGGGGATCCACCTCTGGGGCAGTCGTCACTGGTCCTGGACCTCGGGGACGAAAACCCCGGCTGCAAAATCTGCCCCCTTCCTCATTTCTAGATAGAAGAACATGATCCAACTGAACCACCAATGTAGCACGTCCCTCCAGAGAGAAGGGATTTGCCCTGTGTTTCTAACGTTATCGCGATACCTGGTATTTCCTACAGTTTGCTTCATGCCCAGTGGCTCAAGAAGTCGGTCGTGTAGAGCCTCGGCAAACGATGTCCCAGAAGCTTTCTCAACAACTTGACCGAGTACCTCGTAGGCGAGATTGTTGTAGATAAAGCGGCTTCGAAACGGAAAAACACCGGGAGCACCGTTCAGGATCTCAACCGCCTGTGACCTAGGCAAGAAAGGAACCCCGTTGGACGCCAACCAGAGCGAGTCGAGGGCGGCGAGCCCGGTGCGATGCGTCAAGAGATCGGCAAGTGTGATTTTGCCTTATATGTCCGCGCGACGAAATTTTGGGAGCCACGATTTCAGTGGACTATCCCAGGATGAAATGGTGCCATCGTCGCAAAGGGAGGCTAGCAAGGCGGCAGTAATGGCCTTGCTGAGGGAGCCAAGGACAAAAGTAGTGTCGCTATTGCAGCGAATCTTGCGTTCAACGTTGGCGTAGCCAAAGGAGGCGGTGTGAATGACTTCATTGTTGTGGAGTACACCAAACGACACGCCCGGGATGCCTGAGATGGCGCAGATGCTTTTAACGACTGAGCCTAGGGCCGCGAGTCGGTTGGCGAGAGACATCGCGCGGTGATATCCGCAGGAGGGCAACAAAGATGAGTATACGAGTCAGGAAGTGGTAACAAGTGAAAAGGTGATGGTTAGGTAACGTTAGGTAGGTAAGCGGTTGGGGGTACTGTGGGGTATTAAAGAGAGCCTCCAAGGGCAACCTCGAAAGAACAAGTTGCTAGAAGCGTACCTAGTAGGTAACCAGGTACCTGGGTGCATGTACTGAGGCTACCTAGACAGGAATTCTGATGTGTGCAACGCCACGACCCTCCACCCTCTGACCAACAAAAGTCGACTTGAAAACAGGACAAGAAGTGAAGAAACGAGAAAGGAGTAAAGGAGTCCAAAGAGGAGGACGGGGTAAAAAGAGTACAGCCAAAATATTAAAGAAAAGAACCCGAGTCGAATAAGAATTAGCCTTCAGGTTTCCGAATGGCGTTCTTCTCATTCCTCCAGGTAGCCACAGCCTCGCTGCATTTGAAGTTCGGCTTTCTTTTGCTCACGGGGTGCCCTCAACTGACATCACCTAGTGGCTGCCTGCTCGAGTATGATGTATTTTGGTTGATGCCACACATAAGAGTGGTGTGTTTTCTCTCCTTATCTAAGTAGGTAGGTACCTAGGTAGGCTTTCGTCCGCTAGCAGGCAACCTCTAATCCTACCTAAGTCAAACATGTGTGGCTCTATGTTGCGCCTCCATATCAACCACAACTCAAATACACTACGAGGTCCCCTGCCCACGCCCGTCGTATCTACCGGGTGTCGCTCTGCTCTGTCTGCAAGGCCGCTTGCGCCCAGTGCTGCTCGTTACCGGGCATTCCCAGTTTTGTTTTCGGGTTATCCAAAAGAGTCTCGGTTTATCAGCGCCCCGCTTGCAACATCATCACAAAGATATCTTCAGGCTCGCTGGGGGGCCAGGCCACCTCAGAGCGAGCCGTTGCTGGTAGTAACCACTGTCAAGTGACCGGGAGATGTGGTGGAGCTCGTTCATAGATGAAGTTCGTCAAGTTCAATGGTCTATTTGTCTCGGCATGGGTAAACACAGCCGTATTCTATATCGTTTTGAGGGCATGGGTGACAAATCCTCCCCCAAAGAGACGAGCAATTATATACATGACTGCGGGGAACTGGCGGCCTGTGGTGTCGCGCACTTTACTCCGGTAAATCGCAGTTGGTGAGAGAGGCGTGGGCCTGAGAGAAGGGTGGTAGCACGGAGGATAGCGGCGGATCGACAGGCGGGAACTGGCGTGAAGTGAGAGTTATTGCCACACTTGGGGATCATGCGAGAAAGTCGTGGCAATCTTATCGAGTTTCTCGGTCTTGCTACCTTCCCCAAGTCGTCTCGTCCCAGTGCATGCATGTACATGCAATGTCAGTAACGGAATGATGTTGATATCTTATATGTATGCATAACAACTCCTTACGAAGTCCAAGTCAAAGCTGAGCCCACTAACCTTCCTTTACCGAGAGACACCAAAGTATTGCTAAATCAGGAGGGGGTATTGTAACATGTGGTTAGCCAACCCCAAAACCGCATTAACACGAAGTACAGGGGGTGTTCGGTTGTGAGCGGCTTTCCCCGCCACTCCATGGTCACCAACCATCCGCACCACTATGCGAATCTCGGCAATTGGATGGAAAGTTGAACGTGCCAAACCTTGGTGTTCGGCCGTCGAATCGGAATGCTTCGATGCTGCCTGCAACGTACTAAACCGTGGTCTGAACCATGATACAAACCTTTGGGCCCAAGGCGGGGGTCAATCATGGCCGGGAAGAGACTAAAGGTTGCACACGGAAAATGTATGACGTCGCTCTGACATAGCAAGCTTGGAGCTTGCGCAAGATGGCACCCGGTGACCATCAGATGGCAAATTTTAGTTCTGGGTCTCCGCATCATTATATGATGCTCTTCGTCCGTGGTGGTTTCTCCCAAATTTTCTACTTCTTTTATCCTTATTCGTCAATTCAGTGAGGTCGACAACAACTTACCGAAACAACTCACCAACGTACCCGTCCAAGATGATTGCCCCTGATCAAGTCGCTGAGATGCTGTACCCGGCAGCAACCACTGCAAAACCGGGACCTATCCCCACGGTCATCCGTACGTCATAGCCCTCCGGCCCTTCCCCAACTTCTGCCTTCACAAAACAAATTAACCAACCAACCAACCCGCCCATCCGATCCAACACAGCCGACCCCACACACTTCCAACTCTCGACCGAGACGGGCCAGCGCACGCTCTGGGTGCTCTTCGCGGGCATGACGCTCTTCTCGGCGGTGTTTGCGCTGCTGTCGTGGAACGTGCCCGTGGCCAAGCGCGTGTTCCACGTCACGACGACGCTGCTGACGCTCGTGTCGGCGCTGGCCTACTTCGGCATGGCCGCGGGCCACGCCTCGTCGCTGAGCTGCCATCCCGTCCGCGACCGCCACGGCCACGGCATCCCCGACACCTTCCACGACCAGTGCCGCCAGATCTACTGGGCCCGCTATGTGGACTGGGCGCTGACCACCCCGCTGTTGCTGCTGAACTTGTGTCTGTTGGCGGGTGTGGATGGCGCCCATACCCTCATGGCGCTGGTGGCGAATGTGGTGATGGTGTTGGCGGGCTTGTTTGCTGCCTACGGCGCGGAGGGTACCGCCCAGAAGTGGGGTTGGTTTGTGATTTCGTGTCTGGGCTACTTGTTTGTCGTGTGGCATGTCGGCCTGCACGGCACGCGCACTGTCCAGGTCAAGGGCGCCCGCGTCTCCAAACTGTGGGCGTCACTTACCATCTACTCGTTGGCTTTATGGGCGGCATATCCGATGTGAGTTCCTGCATCGTGTCCCCGAAAGAAAGCCGAGGTTGCTAATGGTTTCTACAGTGTCTGGGGAATTGCGGCCCTAGCTCGCAAGACGAACGTTGATACTGAGGTTATCATCTATGCCGTGCTCGATGTTCTTGCGAAGCCCATTTTCGGCCTCTGGCTGCTTGTGAGCCACCGCGCCATCGCAGAATCCAATATTGACATTGGAGGCTACTGGTCGCAAGGCCCAGCTGCTGACGGCAGAATCCGCATTGGAGATGAAGAATAAACTGTCACAACTCGAAACGGGGTTGTTGCCGGGGGCCAGGGGGGGGGGGGTTCGGTGGTCAAGGGTGAAAGGAGTGACACGGTCAAGTGGCAGGGGTTCGCATCTGGCAAATGATTCTCCGGAAGGTGCGCTCTTCGCCAGATTAGCGCCGCCGATTTGAGAGATTCAATGATAGCACCAGCAGGTTGATGTCGAGTGCGCGGCTAGCAAGGGGTATTGGGGCAGTAACCCGTCTATTATGTATCAGTGGAACGAGTCATAAAAACAGCTAGCAAAAATATGGGAAACTTATAAAGAGAATAAATTGGTTTTTCCAGACAACCTTTACCACCAGAAATTGGTACCTACCTACCTTCGTTTTACCTTTAGGTTCAATGTTGGCAAGAGCGGAACAACTCAGGCACAAAAAAAGCCGCCGGGAAGGGCAGAGGGGAGGGGAGAAGAGAGGTGTTGGCAGTTACCACCCCGACGCCGTTTCCAGAAAATCGGACCGAGCAAAGCACAGGGTGGCCTCTCCGTGACATGTTGCACAGGGCGGTCATCACCTCACCACGCGATACGATTTGATCTCATGGTCCTCTTCAGAGCCTCATTCAATTAACCATGTGGTTGCTGCGGCCATGCAAGACGGCCCAACGGCGGCTCAATATCCACAAAGTCACACTGATCCGCCTGCTCCAAATCCCAGCCAAGACATATCGCCTTTATTCTACGAACGGATCATCTTCGAACTCCTCGCGCGAGAATGGCAAGGCAGCGGGGTACACGGCGCTGGCCGCTGCGGCGGGCGGAGGCGGTATTTGGTGGTTAACGAGCAGCCTCAAGCAGAAGCACCAGACGAAAGGGATGCCGTGCTTCACCGACGCGCCCACTGACCAACTAGCCCCAGCACTCGGCCCATCGAAAGAAGGCGTCTCGCACATCCTCTCCAACGGGGCCTATTCTATCCCAGTCACTCACATCCCCGGGATCAACAGATACGACGGCTCACAACTCGCTTCCAGCAGCCCCTGCGAGGACCGCTTCGTCCACGGCGAACTGCCCTCTCCGCGCAACGACGGTGGTCACTGGGCCGCATGGGCCATCTTTGACGGGCACGTGGGTTGGCAAACGGCCGACCTGCTCGAGAAGCAGCTCCTGCCGTTTATGCGGCACAGTCTGGCCCAAGCCAAACCTGACCTGGGCGAAGGGTCCGCAGCAACCGACGGCGCGGTGCAGGACGCCATCATACGCGCTTTCGTGCGCCTCGACGACGCCCTCATGAAAAAGGTCTCGGAGGCTATCGAGAGCAAGACGCCATTGCCGGACAAGTTGGCCGGGCTCATGCCTGGTTATGCCGGTTCGTGCGCGTTGCTCTCCATGTACGATCCCCTCACGAGCACCTTGCACGTGGCGTGCACCGGTAATTCGAGGGCGGTTCTGGGGCGGAAGCGGCCCGATGGGAGTTGGGAGGCTGTGCCGTTATCGCTGGACCAGACCGCCCACAATCCTGAGGAGTTTGCGCGGCTGCAGAGGGAGCATCCCGGCGAGAAGGACGTCGTGTCGATGAAGGATGGGCGCATTCTAGGTATCGGACTCTCTCGCACCTTTAGGGACAGCCGCTGGAAATTGTCCGACGAATTGCATCAGGATCTCTAGTGGAGATTCCGCTGCCTGCCGCCCATGTCGCCGCGATATGAGGTCCTAACACCGCCATACCTTACTGCCGAGCCGGTCGTAACCTCGACAAAAGTCGACACCAGCCAACCCTCCTTTCTCATCATGGCAAGTGATGGATTGTGGAGTCGATTAACTTCGCAACAAGCCGTCAATTTGGTAGGGAAATGGTGGGACTTGGACTCGCAACGCGTAAGAAACAACAAGCCAGAGCCGGCATACGAGACAGTCGACTTCCGTCAGCTTAATGGTCTGAAGGTTGCGAGTCCAAGATTTTTTGAGGAGAGGGCGACTTTCAAGGACGACAACGCTGCCGTACACCTGACGCGAAATTCCCTCGGCGGCAACCACCACGGCCTGGTAGCGACCCAGCTCGCCTACAAACCTCCCTTCTCACGCGTACTTTTGGATGACATGACCGTTCAAGTCGTATTTTTTGGTGAAAAGGGTGCCACTCAAGCGGGGCTGGGAAGACGGCCAAGGGATGATAACAGCTTGGGAGAATAGGATTCGGATCCATATTCCCCCCTTTCGAACGGCTTGAGAGGAGGGGGTTCACTGGGCACAAATAGCTAGCCAAACATTATTAGGAACATAATTAGCGTTAGCGGTGAAAACAGCATCAATGATAAATCATGATTCCCGTGTACATGAAAGCTAACGACCAGACCCCACACGACATAACCGCGTCCGCCACACAAGTCCTTCACCGATGCAACCAATCTATCCCTGGCAAATGGCCCGATACCGTCTAAGAAACATATGGTCGCCATGAAGCCGAAGATGGATGTCTCCCATGCCAGTCTGCTAACCGTCTTCATCCCTCTCCTGTGTCCTCCGAGTCTCAAAACAGTACTCCACGCGTGGTACCAATCAAATGGACCTGCTCCATCATCGGCTGAATAGATGAGGTTTGTCGAGGCATGGTCGTGGATCACACGCTCAGTGCAATTCAGTTTGGTTGCCGCCCGCCGGCCAAGCTCCCGGATCTGCTCTCCAGCGCGTTGTCTGTCTGGTTTTCTGAGTTGTATCCAGAACGGCCGCTGCCGAATACAAGAGCGACGAAGTACAGGGGCTGCCAAAGAAAGGCACGGAGCAAAAAAGATAGTAGCATGGCGGCGAATTCTGGGTGTAGTGGTGGGAAATCTGCAGCCACAGAATTGCGTGAAATGGGTTATGCTTCGCGTTGGTTGTTGCTTGTGTCGTTCTGGAATCTGGAGGGATATGAGGCTCGTCATTCTCGCAGTCTTGTGGCCTTTACATACCTGCAAATATGCTCACACACAGAGGTGACACAGCCTCCAGCGCTTGTGACTTGACCGAAGTGTTGTTGGCCCAGCGTTACACCATGTGGGCGGCTGGCAAGGCACACCGAGGACAACGTCCACGCCGGGCTGCCTCGCCTCGTTCTTGCCGCCTGCATTTTGAGGGTGAGTCAAGTCGCCGAAAGGCCAGAACATTGACCCAAAGCGGAAGGACGAACCACAGGCTCGGGTCCGTCCCCGTGTGTATGGCAAGTGGTGTGAAGCAGAACCAACGGACCGGCGCCTGCCACCAACCAAAACCCGAACCGCCCAGATTATGCGTGATATCGTTGGGAATGTCCACACTAGCTCCAGTCCAAAAAGGCGCAGCCACTCGTTGGAGCCGGAAGGTGATGGGGGCAGGCCAACACGGCCGGCTTCGGCAAAAGAATTGGGCTCGTCACTAGCATCCCATATCGGCGGATTCCGTGCGGTTGATATTTCCAAAAAGAAAATGGGGGCTATTAGCTGAGGAAGGTGTTTGGCGCTCAGGTGCCGTTTCGTAGAGACAACCTCGAGGCCGGCCGCACATGCAATCAAGGCCGATGGCATACGCAATGGGCAGTATCTAAATAGATACAACGATCTAAATAAAGAAGATGGATCTTGAGAGAGTATTAGGTACGCTGAAGCGGGTTAGCAATTGAAGCCTCCCGCGACAGGTCTTCTATGCAATCTGCCAACCCTTGATTTAGTGGCCAAGCCACTGCTGTCCAACGTTGAGGTACTTTCATCGTCATCAACGACATCAATATATTTGCTAAAGACTCAAGTCTTTCCCTGTTTACTAAATTGGCTCTCAGTTCCGCAATTCGTTGCCGGAGGATCACTGCAAGCAAGCAACAAGCTTTGTGTTGCTTGTTTGACTGGAACCACAGGCCGAAATGCTCGCATCAGTTAACGATTCGATGGGTATACCCCTGTTTCTTTTCTTAGTTGACAGCAGAATCTTTGAAAGCCGAGAATTGGAAACTTAATTCCTTAACCCTGAAATTCACACTTGCAAACTCTGGTGACTGGCGTGTGCCATGTTGGAGGTCTCGGCGCCCCGCCTCTCATTGAGGAGGGTATTCTGCACAAGGGGATCATTGTGAGATTGCTATTATTCTAGCTCATAAATAATGGCACTGAATCCTGCGGCTTTGTGGTTAGTAGTGTGAGTTGTGGTGTAGTTGTCGGAATATCTACGCCAGAGTTACGTCCTCACAGGGGGACGTGACGGAGGGCAGGGGGGGATCCACCACTGGGGCAGTCGTCACTGGTCCTGGACCTCGGGGACGACAACCCCGGCTTCAAAATCTGCCCCCCCTCCTCATTTCTAGATAGAAGAACATGATCCAACCGAACCACCAATGTAGCACGTCCCTCCAGAGAGAAGGGATTTGCCCTGTGTTTCTAACGTTATCGCGATACCTGGTATTCCCTACAGTAGTCCATGAAGCCGCGCTGTGAAGTTCAGATCACGACACCATATCTTGCGTTTTTGTCGAACTCTAGCCCCTCACCAGTCGGCTTTCAAGGTGGAGGTTTTGTTGACTGCAGAGACATCTCCTTTCGAACCACAACCTGCAGAACCTTTGTGTCCAGCCCAACTCTCCGCAAGCCGCTACGTTCGCCAAACGTCGCCGACCAAACCATGACAAATCGATAACCACACCACAGATAGCGATGACGGCGGTTGCACACCTTGGGTGGCCCCTGGGCTCTCACGCTACTCTCTATGGCGACTATAGCACTACGAATCTTTGTCAAGCGCCGACGGGGTTGACCGATCGAGAGCGACGACTACACCGTGATCGTGTCGTGGGTACGTATCAACAAACTGCAGTTCACCCACCATCCTTATAAACCCTACGAGACTTCTACGCAGGCATGAGTGTGGTGTACTTGGCTGACCAAAAAGTGGCCAGGTCTTCCTCCTCACGTCGCTCATCTCGATCATGGTCGCCACCCGCCATGGCTATGGCCAACACCTTGCCGACCTGAAATCCAACCCCACCGAGGCCGACAAGCTGATCGCCGTTTCCGAGTTCTTCGCTGTCAGTGCCGGTGCAGTAGCCAAAACGGCAACGCCATGATGCTGCTCAAGGTGCTCAATGTGCGCTGGCAGAGGATGGTCGCCTGGGGGCTGGCAGTATCGGCCAACCTCATCATCTGGGGTTTCGCCATCTTCCTGGGGATGGTTAATTGGCAGGATCGGCTGGTACAGATCTGCATTGAAGCAACCGGCATCTGCAGGTTTGCGATCTTCGGAGCGGGTGAGTGATTCCCGGTCACCATAGACCAGATCCCTTGTCTTAGCATTTTACCAGTGTGGTCAGCGGCGACGGACTTCGCCTTTGCCATCATCCCTTAGCCCTTTATTTGGCACTTGCACCAGCAGACGACGCAAAAGATTAGCCTATGGGTGGCTATGAGCTTTGGCATTGTGTAAGTGCTCTCCCGCAGCATGTTGCTCTACCGCTGGGATTTAAGGCTAGCTTCCTGTGGAGCTCGGGCGTGATAGCCATCGTCAAAATAGCTCAGATGGACTGAAAACTTCAGGCGGGATGTCACACGTAAGTCAGGCACAGTACATGAAAGGTTGAGAAAACATACTAACAGCTTAAGATGACACTGTTGCCCTGGTCATCTGGACTTTTGCCGAACCCGTTGCTATCATCATGGCAGCATCCATCCCTGTTCTCCGCCACATCATCGAAAAGCCCGCACAAGCGGCATTTGAGCGAGGGTTGACGGGGACCCGCAGCGGATCTGGGTTGCCTCGCGACTTCGCTTACCCCTCGTCGGCGCCATATGGACGACAAGCAAAGATCTGGAGCACCGGGGGTAGCCCAACCGCAACCTCCATCGCGTTAGAAACCTTGGGCTCAAGGGATGGAACCCTACGGACAGACGAGGTCAAAGTCGATATCGAGGAGAAGGGCCACGACTCACCCCAAGAGCAACAATCCCGTCATAACCATCAAGGCCAGCCACTACCTCTCATTACCTGCACCTCGCCGGCCTCGCCCGTCACGCGAACCCGGACCTCCCGCCGCTCCAACTCGCGCAACGTTTCGGTGCCCTGAGTCTGGCCTTCCATTCTTTTGCGAAACTTGTACAGGAGCCTGAAGCTCATTTTGTTAGATTTACCTTTCTTTAACGTGGTTTCTGCCCGCTTATTTAGTTTTTATATCCGAGTTAATTCTTTGCCCTTTGGAGCCCGCTTTTTCCTTGAACAGAAAGTGGGTGGGTGAGGTGCCACACACCACGTGGGTTAGGTTGGTTTCAAGCCAGCTCTAATAATACCGACCTTTGCCACGTTCCCGAAAGCGGCGCACAGTGGATGTCTGAAACAAGTGATCAGCCAAGTATGAGGGGTCAACCAACATTCCACCAGCACTCAACTTGTTGAACCCCTGAACTTATTCACTTTCAACTCTATCACTCACTCAAACCTTCTTCAACTTGAACCCTCTTTAATTTACACTCAATCTTACATCAATTCGCCAACCACCAACAATACCATACCCCCCCTCCGAAGCACAATGGCACCCCACGCCGGCCTCGTCCACCTCAAGGAATACGACATCAAAGACCGCAACGTCGAACTAATCGGATCCGACCTTGACCACAAATTCAAGCACGCCTCGGCCTCGGCCGAACCGGACTGGAACGACGGGCAGGTAGGGCTCACGCCGGGGCTCTTCGTCTGGCGCATCGAGAACTTCGCCGTGGTGCCCGTGCCGCCATCCTCGCACGGCCAATTCTACGACGGCGACAGCTACATCATCCTGCACTCCAAACAACCCAAACAATTTAACCTCTTCTCCTCCTCCGCCGACGCCCCCACGCCCCCCAAACTAACCCACGCCATCCACTTCCTCCTCGGCGCCCACACCTCGCAAGACGAAGCCGGCACCGCCGCCTACAAGACGGTCGAGCTCGACGCCTTCCTGCACGGCGCCGCGACCCAGCACCGCGAGCTGCAGGCCCAGCCCTCCGCGTCCTTTCTCGCCCTCTTCCCGCGCCTGACTTTCCGGCGCGGCGGCGTCGCCTCGGGCTTCCGGCATGTTGGCGACCCCGACGCGGCCGCGGCCGACAAGCAGGACGAGGTGGTCACGCTATTGCGCGTGTTCAAGAATCCGTGTGCGGTGGGGAGTAGGGATGCGGTGGTGGTGTGCGAGGTGGAGGCGGATTGGCGGAGTCTGGATGAGGGGGATGTGTTTGTGTTGGAGAAGGGGAAGGGTGGGAAGATCTGGGTATGGCAGGGCGGGCGGTGCTCGCCGATGGAGAAGGCCAAGGCGGCGCAGGTAGTGCATGAGATGAAGCTGGCCAAGCGGGTGGATGTGGAGGTGGTGTCGCAGGCGGAGTCGCGGTCGCGGTTGGTGGTGACCATGTTGGGGGGTGGGGAGGAGGATGGGTTTGGCGTGTTGAAGGCGCCGCGGCCGATGGTGGGTGCCGTGGCCGGGTCAAGGCCCGGGTCGTCGGCGGGTGGGGAGGGGGCGAGGGCGAGGAGGTTGTTTAGGTTGAGTGATGAGTCGGGGCAGTTGCAGTTTGGGTTGGTGAAGGAGGGTGGAGGGATTTCGCGGGCCGACTTGGATGGTGATGATGTGTTTGTGCTGGACGACGTCGGCAGGACTATCTGGGTCTGGGAGGGTCAGGGCGCGAGCAAGGCGGAGAAGGCGATGTGGCTCAAGGTCGCGCAGGCATATGTGCGGAAACTTCAGGGCGACGGCTGGAATGACGAGGCATACCTTACACCCATCGCCAAAGTACGCGAGGGTAATGAGAGCTCTGCATTCTTGCATGC